CACAGAAAGTCATATTTATATATGAGACAGGTCGAAGATTTTATTAAAAATGTATAGGATACATGATAGACTACCTAAGGAACCTATACTACACACTGCCCTGAGGGTAGAGTGTTGGTGGAAGGGATGTAATGTGAAAGTGAGTTGATTCAGCATTAAAGTCCAATAACCACTCAACCTCAAACTACCCATTTTCGATGTTTTGGGCATTTTAATTTTCCCACACTCAATTTTTGATCTATTTCACTTCCCAGCTCTGAGATTTGGGTGGATGTTTCTGTACATTTAGGCCTATGATGCTGAATATATGTAAAATATACTCCAGGTGTCTGATTATAAGATTTCGATGTTTTGAAGGTATGGGAACCTAATCAGTAGATTTAGAAAGTATATACACTATTCCACAACTATGGCCTATTTTGAACTGATCTTTGGTATATAAAGCATGTATATATGCCCTACTAATGATATATGAGCATGTTGTATTATTTGTGAAAGGGTAAGGTAGTGCAAAACATCAAAAAAGTGAAATATGTGATGTTTTATGTTTTTGTTCCTATTGAAGGACCCTAAAGGCTCCCTGTGGTAGCTATGTGATAGATATACTCCAAATATGTATAGGAATAGACTCCCTGCCATATCTAAGGTCCAGCCTTCCAGGAAAAATTTTCACAGGGGGTAAACCACCAGAAGAAGGGGGGTATACCATACAACAGGGTGTTGTTCTGTGGTCCTGATCTCCTGATACATTGTTCATACTGCTTAATGGATTGTGGGGATACAATTTTCAAGTCTGTTCACTTGGAAATGCACACATGGGAACATATTTTGTATTTCTATGTATATATGCTATAACTATTGATGTAGGGCGCTTCAGGGGGTAAAATAAAGATGGGAATACATTCATATATACTCCTGAACATGTTCTGAATGCCTTAGAACACTTCCCTGTCATAGGGGCAAAAATGCGAAAGTGTTCTGTACCCTAGGTTATGTTGAAAGGGCCCTGGAGGAGGAGCAGGTACACAAATAAACAAAAAAAGCGGACCATTATATTATAATATACATATATATACCAAACTATCACTTATATATGGAGGGGGACCTATTGTGGGGTGGTGGTGAAGCTGCAGTGAGGTGGGAAGGGTGTGGGAATAATTGATATTGTGGAGATTCCCAAAATGGGCGATGTTTTTGGTGTTGTGGGGTAATTCCCACACTGTGGGGCTGAAAAATGCGAACATATGATGTGTGGGAATAATGTGGGGAGGCCTGACATGAGGAGGTCACCAAAATGGAATATATATCATGAATTTTCGCTTTGGGGAGCCAAAATTGCAGTCATAATGTATGTTTAAGATTTCTGCTTGCTATATTAGATACATGGATTCTCAGACTACATGGATGTATCACTGGTGAGTGGACAATTAGATTGGGGGATGTATCCCTATTTTAGGCCTATAGGCCAAAAGGATACATCCATCCCCCACCATCAGGTGCTCTTACGAAAGGTTAACTTTCATCCACGACATAGTCCATTACTATCCAGCCCTCGTTGATAGGATATATCTCCGAGGGCATTGCCCTCTGTGGAAAAGGTCAAGTCCGGGATGCGAGGGCGGCATTTGACGTCGCATCCATGTTCACGAACCAAAATTCAGAAACCACACATTTTCTTCTGTTGATCAAGGTAGTTCAAGTTCTTCCCTCGTATTCTCTGCTCCATTCCTTATTTTAGGCCATTGTCCTTTTCAATGCGGATCAACGCGAGGAGGCAATGCTGCTCATCAAGAAGCTAGCAGCCGCTTGTCCGACATCCGATGCTCGTGCGTGTCATGTCGTGGATGTAAGTATCATGCGGCTATGCTTCGTCATCGATACTGAACTCTGCAACTCGCACATTAGGCATATTTACGCGTTCAACTAGGAATCAAAGCCTTGGATGATGCGCATCACGACGAAGCCGCTGACCATTTCACTGCTGCTGTCAACTCCAGTGCTTTCTCATTAAAATTCAAGATGGACATTCATGAAATATACGAGGACTTGGCGGTGGTATGTTGACATAATTCATCCTAAAACATTTTCATTACTGAGTACTTTGTCTAGCTCTTCGGGTGGGATCTCGAGTCATTCTGGCTCACTACACACCAGAAACGCTGTCAGGCTTTCCTTTTGGCAGGTAAAGTCGAAGAAGCCCTCGAATCCCACCAACACATGATGGACGCCATCAACAAAATTGAGAAGGCCAGCTGCCTCGATTGGTCCAACGGCAAGTTTTCAGTAATGTCACGCGAGGCTATCATACTCACTCGCATCTCACTCAGAGTTCAAAGAGCAATGTAGCGCGCTCACTGCTCGCGATGACCGTATTCTTGGCGCATGTACTCCCTTTCTTAGCCCTTTCGCTACTGACCGTTTTACAGGCAGAGATCCCGGGACAAGATCAAGATGGCTACAATGCAGAACCTGATTTCTTCCGTGGAATGCATGATGTGCGTGCAACAATGTATCTTTCACTTCTCACTCGTAGACCATTCGTTACAGCGTCCGCACACTTCCCGGCTACAGCCTCAGCAGCGTGTGGGGCGCTTCAAGAAACTTGGGCTCGCTATGACAAGGAGTTCTCATCCAGGTCCTCCACCTGCACCTGCACCGCCCACTACTGCTCCCACCACCTTAAAAGCCCACATACGACACTTATTCACCTGGAGACCCGATCATGCAGCGCCACCCGTCGTTGACGTTCCTTTTGCGCAGGGTCGGAAGGTGCGCTCGGTCAATTTCCATCACTGTGTCTTGGGTGTCTAATGTATATATCTGCAGCGTAATGCTGCAGCGGGTGCTCCTCCCGATGACGATTCAGACATTATACATGCTGAATATGTTGAAGATCCTCCACAAGATCCCAATACACAGCAGCAGCAACAACCAGTAGCAGCGCAAGGAGATACTGGGGAACATGGAGGCGGCAAGTCATGTTTCTGCTGCTAGAGGAATTGGTGGCTTCCTCGGGCATTTCAGTTCTATCATCGCCCTTGTTGTAATATCTGCTGATGACTTGAAGTAGTGCTTTATCAATAGATGATGACTGCACCGTGTGGATTATTATTATTACTTTGCGTCTTCCATATGTAAAACTTGGCCGCATAGAAGATGTAACATCACTCGAGAATGATTTGTGAAAGTTCGTAAATATCCTGGACTCGCCCGGCCGTGCAAGGTCACTGAATTGACGAACACTAACTTCTATGATGAATCATGATGCAATTGGACGGACACTTCCTACAGACTCTGATACGCCAGCTGACGCATGACCATAACCAGGTGCCACAGTACCAGTATGTGACCTCGAACACTAGTACTCGTTGCGCACGTCTCAATTCCGCATAGCCTGGGGAACCTAATTGATTTAGGAAGGGTCATTAATACCTTCTCTCCAATACGGGAGCTACGGATGGGAAAGAATCATGAACGAATGCAGATGTCGATGTACCTCGTAATGAGTGGCGCGTGCCTTTTCGAGTCTTGCTCTGCTCATTCCTTTCGACCAGATATTGTCAGGATCATGTCTACATGCATATGCTTACCCATCTCTCTTAGAGAAATACGAACCAGTACGTCAACCCGAGGATGCGTTTCGCCAGCAAAGAGAGGGGGCGCTTAGGAGCATGTATTCCACGAGAGGTATTATCGCATTCTCAAACACCCCTGATGACTGTCGTTCAATAATTGAACGCATAGCTTAGACTGTGATGAAGAATCAGTACTCAGTAATGGGTTTGAGACGCGAGAAGCGAGCACATATCTGGTGCACGCGCAGATCTCGAGAGTCGACGATATGAATCGGGGATGTTACAGTAAGATGTATGCATGCGTTCGGACAAGTTGCATGGTGATGTGCTGGGGAATCCACTCGACATGAGACCGGAGAAATAACAATATTTATGCGGTCATCTACAAGGATATATACTGTCAGCCAGATTCAAGCGCCAGGAAGTAGTAACCGTACCACAATTGAATGCGAGGGGACACATTCTGGAAGCTGTGGAGACTGAGTCGATCCATGTGCATAATACAGAAGCGCCGGGAATGTAATGTGCGCTGTCGAGGAAGACGGGTATGACGATAAGGAGCATTATTTCTGCAACAGTCCACCTCATGTCTTGGGCGTCTGTACAAACAAACTGGTATAAAGCACTGCAGAAGCATAAAAACGCACAATACACGCACCTCTGCAGCTCAGAGAAAGACGCTCACAAACCCTCCAAAGTCCACCTCGACCGTGTTCAACACCGTCAACCTGCAGTAAAATGTCGAAGCCCATTCCAAGCACCACACCCCTTCGAACTTTTAAAGGTCATGAGGAGAGAGTAACTGCAGTCGCAGTTTTCCCCGATAGACGACGAATGGTTACGGGCTCATACGACAAGACACTTCATCTCTGGGATCTGGAGACAGGTGTTATGTTGAAGAAGATGGAGGGGCATCGCAGTGAGGTGTCAACATTGACGATATCACGAGATGGGCAAATAATAGCAAGCGCTGATGAAGATAGAGAGGTCATCGTTTGGAACGGAGAAACAGGAGAATCTCTCACCCAACCCATCAAAGCCCACTCCTATCCTATCACATCGCTGGACTTTTCTCCAGATGGTACGGTGTTGGCCACTGGTTCAAACGACGGGACGGTCAAGCTGTGGTGCACCAAAACATGGCAGCAACTAGGAAATCAAATCAAATGGAGTGACTGGGGGGTTGACCAGGTTCTGTTTTCGCCGTCTGGTGAACTTCTTGCCGTCGCAACAAGATACAATATCCACATTTATAATTCAGGCACAAGAAAACGCGTCGCAACCTTGAATGTTTCCTGCCCCACACTCGCGTGGACGCACGATGGCACGCGCCTTATTTCTTTAATTAGTAGTTATCAAGGTGACGTCATACAAGAGTGGGATACATCAACCTGGAAGAAGGTCGGTGATCCCTGGAAGGTCCATACTACTAGTAGGCCCAGGATCAAGGCCATCGCCATCAATCCCGTTGGCACGCTCGTCGCTTTTGCATATAATGATAACCATGTCCGTCTCTGGCGGCTCTCAGATCGACGAACCTTTGCCATCTTCCAGCACTCATCCGATTTGACATGTGTCACATTCTCCGTGGATGGCAAGCACGTCCTCAGTGGAGGTCATGATAATCAGATCTCAGAGTGGAAAGTACCTACGGGTGTTCATTCAAAGGCGAGTTTCCATCCTTGACCTGTAAAACGCAAAACGAGCATGCTTCATGCAGATCTTCGCTACTATCACGCCAGCCCACGATTCATGCATCACTGGGGACTTGTCTACTGCGGAACAGCTACTCACGCAAGAGGTTGACAGCGACGCCAACGACTATACCTCATATGCCCATCGCTCATTTGTCATGGCGCGAAAACAAGACTGGGACCATGCCCTTGAGGATGCAATCAAGGTGAGTCATACCGACCGACCATGGCCCTCTTACGAAAGGCTAACTTTCATCCGTGATATAGTCCATCAGCATTCTGCCCTCATTGACAGGCTATATTTCCAAGGGCATTGCCCTCTGTGGACAAGGTCGAGTCCGGGATGCGAGGGCGGCATTTGACGTCGCATCCATGTTCACGAACCAAAATTTAGAAATCATACATTTACTTCTGTTGATCAAGGTATTTCAAGTTCTTCTTTCATATTCTCTGCTCCATTCCTTATTTTAGGCCATTGCCCTTTTCAACGCGGATCAACACGAGGAGGCAATGCTGCTCATCAAAGAGCTATTGACTGCCTGTCCGAATGCTGATACTCGCGGATGTCGGGTTGTGTACGTGAGTATCATGCGGCTATGCTTCGTCATCGACACTGAACTTTGCAACTCGCACATTAGGCATATTTACGCGTTCAGCTAGGAATGAAAGCTTTGGATGGTGCGCGTCACGACGAAGCTGTTGACCATTGCACTGCTGCTGTCACTTCCAGCGCTTTCTCATCGAAATTCATTCATGATGTATACGAGGACTTGGTGGTGGTATGTTGACATGATGTATCTTAACATGTTTTCATAACTAAATATTTTGTTTAGCTCTTCGGGTGGGATCTCAAGTCCTTCTGGCTCTCCACACACCAAAAACGCTGCCAGGCTTTCCTTTCGGCGGGTAAAGTCGAAGAAGCGCTCGAATCACACAAATACATGATGGATAGCATTGACGAAACGGCAAAGGCCAACTGCCTCGATTGGTCTAATGGCAAGTTTCCAGTAATGTCACCCAAAGCTATCATATTCACCCGTGTTTCACTCAGAGTTCAAGAAACAATGTAATGCGCACAATGACCGTATTCTTGGCGCATGTACTCCTCCCTTCCTTAGCCCTTTCGCTACTGACCGTTATACAGGCAGAGATCCCGGGACAAGATCAAGATGGCTACGATGCGGAACCTGATTTCTTCCGGGGAATGCATGGCGTAGGTGCAACAGTGCATGGTATCTTCCGTTTTTCTCTCACACAGTGTTCATTACAGCAATCTCAAATTTCCGGACCCCGACCTCAGCAGCGCCTGGGACGCCTCAAGAAACTCAGGCTCGCTATGACAAGGAACCCTCATCCTGCTCCTGCTCCTGCACCGCCCACCACCCTCTCATCCACTACTGCTCCCACCACCTTCAAAGCCCACATACGACACTTATTCACCTGGCGACCCGATCATGCAGCGCCACCCGTCGTTGACGTCCCTTTCGCAAAGGGTAAAGAGGTACGCGCAGTCGTTTTTTACCACCGTGTCTTCAATATCTCACACATAAATCTATAGCGCAACGCTGCAGCGGATGCCCCTGGAAAGGACGAGGACTTGGTACCTGACGAATATTTCGATAATCTTCCACAGAGCTCCAGTACACAACAGCCTGATATGCGACAGCAACAGCAACTAGCAGCGCAGGGAGACACTGGGGAACATGGAGGCGGCAAGTCGTGTTGCTGTTGCTAGAAGAATTGGTGGGTTCCTCGGATATTTCAGTTCTATCATCGCTCTTGTTGTAATATCTGCCGTTGACTTGAAGCAGTACTTTATCGATGGGTGATGACTGCACAGTTTAGATTATTATCATTTTGCGTCCTCGTCTGTAAGTAATCATGTATGAACATCGCATCTTCCATAATATGTAACAGTAGAACTTGGCTTGTGCATAGCAAATGTAACGTCGCAGGAGGAGAATGATTTGTGAGGCTCGGAAAAGTCTGTCAAAGTACTCAAAACGAGGTATGATCTCTGAAGAGACAGAATTAATAAACCTAAGATATTTGGTTTAGGTTTAGTGAAACGAATAACTTGGTACGCATTTCGTCAGTTGGGGGTGGAGCATTCTCCCTAAGGCTGCGGTCTGAATCAGCCTTTGCTGAAATGTGCAGACGAAAGTGTCCCGAAGAGTCGAGAAGCTGAATTCGAGATTTGCGCTCGTCAAGGCGTGTGCGAAGAGAGAAAATGAGCATGGCGAGGTGACAAGTGCGAAAGATATCGATATTCGACCTGCGGATTTAACGCAACCAAAAAGTCCTCGAGGTTCGAGTGGGGTAGAATGATAGGGGTCGCGACACTACCCAATACGCAAGACGCCAAAAGGTGGGTGAAGGAGGAACTTAATTGATAGGCACATTTGCGCAGGGGAGTAGCGCCTTCATGTACTATCGATTCAGACGCTGTCTCCGGACTGTCGAGTCCCACTGCTTGTAACAGAGTCAATTTCAAATTGGATTCAAACCAGATAACGCGGGTATTACTAGCTATAGAGCTTATAAAAAGACTTATGTACCATGTAATAACGCAGGTAAGGTCAATGTCCAGTGAAAACCTAAAGTTTGAGGTTGATGGGCGTGCAGCCAATGTTGACAAGGCCGTTCTGATTTTTTCTTGTCAGACATGGATTGAACAGACAAGTTTATCCGCAACTCACCATTTTGTTGTTGCTGCAGCACATGGGTTGCTGGTTGCATGTAGCGCCACTACCAGTGCCAATGACACTAATAGGACTGCAGCTAAGGCCAAGGGTGCCGACGACCTCAGCACCTACTTCCGCAAGGCCAAGAGACTTGGCAAACTTGTTGTAGTTGGAAGTCTACCCAAATCATTAGAATAAGTGAAAGATAGATAGAAATTCGTGACTCACGGTGCTAGAACTCTGGCAGCACTGGATGTCACCGGTGTTGCACTGGCCATCACGGAGAGTGAGGGGAGTGGCGACAGCGAGGGCAGCAAGGAAAGCAACAGTGAAGAAACGAGCGAACATTGTGTTGACTGTCGGAAGGCTAGGAAACTTTGTGTAAAGAGTGTGTGGAAGCGTGAAGTGAGAGCTGGTTAAAGAAGATATGGATTCTGAAAAATCAAGCGCGTTGCAGTCCACCTTTTATACAATTTGAGGACGCTCTGTGACCCGGCCGCTCCGCCGTCTTTGTCAAATTTTTTTCAGATCGAATAACCGATGGGCCATGTTGCCCGTCTATTCCATGGTCTGGAGCGCGTAGCCGTAAACGCAATTAAAATTCATTACGTGAATATCACCTTGGCGTGAACACTGAAACGCGAACGCGTTTTGACCACGTGATCGATTATCATTGAAGTATCCGACTCGGGAGATCACCGCGTTGCTCAATGCCTAGCGCTCTAGTCCAGGCGCCGTGACTAAGCGACATGCGACTTCATAGTAAGCTTGTTTTACGCTCAGAATGGCATGTCTGTCTGATTCCATAAGTGGGTTTTTTGTTGATGTCATTTGTCGAGCTTACAACTGCCGGCACCAGAGTGGCATTGATATTGTAAGGCCGTGAAAAATCTTGCTGCATGCCATTTATCATGATACGGACAAGCGCTGCAACAAAGCCCAGAAGCCCACAGTAAGTGCTCATTGAGCTCGCTCCTCCAGGATTCCCCCGGGGCACGTAAGTAAACTCCGGCAGTAGTCTTGATCGATTCCAAGCCTATCCGAGCTGAGCGCGCAGTGTCTGCCGGTCTCGGCAGCACCGCATAATACGTATGCGATATCCTCTGGATATGTAAGTTGAATGGGAGAAACTGCCGAATCCATTAGGGATATGTTGAATCTTCAAACGTTTCAAGGGTGCCGTCGAGTTTAGTACGTGATCGATGAAACTTCATGAGCGCGGATTCAAGCTTGTTCTTTGCGAGTGGTCAGGAGCGAAGTGTTGTTCTTGAGGGGTTTAGAGCAGATGATGGCGGGTCGGTTAGAATCTAGATATCAAGCAAGTAGCCCTGTGTTCGGGTGAGTCGCTGTCAAGAGATGAAGTACGGGCCGCCCACTATCAATACTCGGGAAGCAGATGAAACAAAAAACGAGATTGGTGACGAGATACTGAACCTCAGTCCCAATACGATACACGAAGAAGAACATCATGCTCCTGTTTCCTCCGCCTGTGAATTGAATCACTTCCCTAAAAGAAAATGGAGGTGCACTTGTGTCGATATGGGAAGAGAGGAACTTCGGGAGTATGAGTATGCGCTCTGTGATGAGAGCTAGGTAGATAGAATTACCCTAGTTGCTGTAAGGAGCCGGGACGACGTTAGAAGCGGATAATCGGCTTGCGTAGGTCGTCACGCCATTCGCTAACAAGTAACTGTGATCAGTGGTGCAAGTGGTGATTGGCTGGAGTTGACGTACTCCGTCCTGCTGAGATCCACAACGTAATGTACTTTGCGTCGTTGCGAAGGTTATCTGAAACCATTAATATTATTTATGAGATCCAAGGGACATCTTCACTGGTTGACTGACCTCTAAAGCATTGGGTGGGTGGGCCTTGGACGTATGACTGTGAGTTGAAAGTGCGCAGGTGGATCCTGTATGTACAGCCTATAGCTCAGCCTGAAGAGCAAATTGAGCAGGAAAGCTCCAAATTTGAGAAAAAAGACGCCTGAATGAGCTGTGCAGATCATCCTGACGGACGGCGTTGTGCCTTTAGCTGATGATGGTTTGGCACGGAACATGGGAATAAATGCGGCCTATCTGATTGGGTGCTCTCCTACCAGGCACTCATCTGATCGTCTGTTCGCGACACGCTGGAGACAAGGGGTGGAAGCCTTGAGGCTGCCTCAGAATCAGTGGCGGATCGGGGTGCCTGCCGCAGCATGGCCTCAAGAAATTGCCACATCAACATGCCCGAACATCTCAAACACCTAGTCTCTTAAGTATGAGCATTCGGGATTTGTCAAATGTCGCCTGGGTGCGACAGAGGGTGACGAGGACGACAAGAACAACATCTTGAGATGTTATACTACATAGTTGTAACTTGTGATTAACATGTCATGTGACGTCTGGATTGGATTCAGTAATTTTCAAAGGCGATGTCTTCTACTACTACTAGCTAGATGTAGAAAGCCCTCTCTCCATGCTGTTCGCGGCTCCAACCGTCATTAGAATTCAATGAGAACTTCATTTCCCATCGATACGCCGCCCATTAAGATTCGTTCTTGTCCAGAAGGTGCCCTATACCCCAATTTCTGGATCTGACTTACTGTATAGGCTTGGAGATTGATAACCAATTGACCATGCAGTCTACTTGGTAGGGGCACTCAAAGTCAAAACCTTAACGCACAACCTCGTGCACATTGGACGAAAACGCTCGGTGCAGATCCAGGCGCGAGGGTATCCCAAGGACCTAAGTCATGAGGCATTCTGTAAGCGTTCCCTTGCGCTTCTTATAACCTCCTGCTTTCAACTCATTCAGTATCTCCAGACCGTCCCACTTCAAAGCCTTTAATAAACTTTCACCAGATATCGCAAATCAAAGCTACTTGATATGTCCGTCGCCTCAGAATCTACCAAGATTGATGCCTTGGAGTATATTATCACCCACATCTTTTGTCCTATCAAATTACCGCAGCACACCGATTATACCCTTGAAAAGGATCGCTCCCTCCTTGACGTCGTGCTAGGCTCGGCTCACAAATTTGCGAGTTCTTTGCCTGGTGACGAGGAGGAGCAGTGGAGTCCTTTGTTGAAGATGCTGGAGAGTCTTGCAGTTTCAATTACTTCTCCTTCCATGGCCAAGGACGTCTTTGAGTCGCAAATTAGGTCCATGCAAGCAGGAGGTACGCACATAGTGTTGGCACAAAGAATTGACACTCATCTCAAGATTTCTCTGCAGATATCATCGCATTTCTGATTCGGGCACAAAATGCTGCTGTGGTGCTTCGTAGACTCGACGCGAAAACCATCTTTGAATCTTTCGAGGTTTCTCCACCTGCGCCTGCCGTCATGGCGGCAAAGGGGAAGCTCCTGTGTTCGTATCCAGGGCCCGCAATCGCTGTGCCAAACTCAGTCATGGATGACCCTACCTTTCCTCCCGAATTGGCGAACTTTCTCTCGCACATGAACCATGATCTGTTAGGTCCGGCAGAAACTAACACCACCGCACATCCTCGCCATATCACCCAGCTTCTCACCGACATCCTTCGTGCCTTTGGCGAGCCAGCTGACATCCCTCGCATTCGAAAACGTATAGGCGATGATGTCTCGCAGTCCAATGCCACGCCTCCTTGGCGAAGATCATCCCTTTGGCTTGTCATACGGGTTGTATTGCAGACATCCCTCGAGCGCACCAGCCTTGGACGAGACGGTTACAAGGCTTTCATGGCTTCGCTCACGACGGACCTTGTATCTAAAGCCCTTGAGGGGGATATATCGAGCGATTTGCTCTACTTCATGTCCACTAAAATCAGTCGACGCTTGATCAAGCTTCAGGCTGAAGACGAATTCTCAGCAATCGCGATGTACAAAGCTACGGAAGATATCAAAGACCGACTGGAGCTGCGCTGGAAGGATGTTCAGGCAGCTCAAGCGGATTCCTCTCATTGGGATGCCTCGGAGATAGATATAACCAGAGACACCAGGCTCTCTTTGACCGGAAGCGAGAAGTATATCGCCGCTGCCTTGCATCCTACCCATGGCCAACCCACCGTGGCAGACTTTCAACCTCATCATTGCCCACGGGGCACTATCGACGACTTCCTTGGTCCTGACGCTAACTTCTTCAAGAGAGCTTATGCCGAGGACCCCTTTTTAGCGCTTTTTGATTTTGAATGTGCTATCGAGCGGGACATCGATGGTTGGTTGACTCGTGTCATTAACCTTGATGATACTTGCATCGACGCCGCTTGTCTGACCATTCAAGCGCTCGCTCAAATTTATTTCACCAGAGCGCGACTGTCCTATTCCGGAAATCCAGAGAATATATCCATCATGCTGCTCACGCTGTTCGCACTCTGGGTTGCGCTTGATCAGCTAGTTGTCAAGTCAATCCCTCTCCTCATGGAGTACTCTCCGGAGGTCCCAGTTACCATTTTCAATCGCCTTCTCCTCCAAAAAGGCGCTGCCATAGAGCGACTCAAAGTTCTTCAGCAGTATGTTGCCACTCGCACCCGCAATGCACGCCCGGGCTTTTCTACCTTCTCGGATGGCGCGGACATGGACGCATTCGCAGTTCGTTATTATGACCAATCTGAGGAGCTGCAGTCACGCAAGCAACGCATTGAAGACGATGCACGTGCGGAGCGGAGAAAGCGAATTGCAGAACTTCACGACACAACCAACAGGTACCAGTGTCTCACACGTGAACTTGAGTCTCTCACGTGCGACTACATGGACTGGCGAGGTTGGCGCGTACATGACAGTGATTGCTGTCGGTGCAAGAAGTGGCAGGAGAGGGGCAGGCTTTGTATTGAAGTTCATGAATGGCCACTTCCCGAATCTGTCAACCGTGCGGCGGTAGTGACATTCGAACTCAATGCCCCCATCGCTTTCAAGATGTGGCGATCTTTAACCTTCATCATTCTTCACGACATATACACCCGAGTTAACAAACAGATTCAAAACAAGGTGCAGCACAGGGGCCTCGCACATTATAGACCGCTTTCGTCCTATCACGTAGAGCACCCCGGTCAACGTATTACGTTGGCCCCGGTGACAAAGCGCCAGGCCCACTACGTATCCCTTCCATGCACTGAAAGTGACATTGCCGTCAAAAATGAGCTGTCCTTTCGCCTTTATGACACGATCGAAGATGGTTGGGCCTCTGGTTCTATTCGAGAGACTAGCATATCCGATCTTTGCACGTACGTGCTGCCGGAAGGTCCGTATCACGGACTGCAACCTTACCTGTCGGGTACCCAGCACACCTCGAACGAGCTCTTGGCCAATCAGGCTACATGTCCAGCTGAGTTGACGCTTCACGAATTCATCGCTTTCGGGAGCCTCCGTAGCGGCAGCCTTCTACAATGGATCAACATTCTTCGTGAATTGCGAGCACGCACACTCACATTTCGTGATCCTGCGGTCCACTTACTGCTGCTCCAGGCTAGTTTGGAGGTGGGAGAGCTGTCAGCCGACGGGTCTAGGTTATGGCATGATGAACTGAAAGTCTCAGGCTTTGGGCACGCCCTTATCGACGAGCTCCAAAGCCTAAAAGTAAGCGTGGAAGCCAATTGGCTAGAGGGCACAACGATGGCAACAATCTCTGCCCTGGCGTCCCGCCTTCTCTCATCAGCAGAAGATTTCAGCGTCATCCAGCGATCATACAAGTTGCTGCGAGCTGTCCGAAACACAACCTTCAAATGGGTGCAAGAACTATCCAAAGCTCTCCGAGAAGCTGCAGACGAAAAGTCTAGTCTTGAATGTGAAGCTCGCGTTCGTGATATGGCAGTAATTTGTCGCAGCACCTACGACGTCGGTCCGAACGATATCACAGCACTCCTCCAATCGCCACAGGACTTGGAGATCTTATCATACTGCTCTATTATAGTGAGAGATAACACGCCTCCAGATTTACCTGCTCTCCCGCCAATTCCAAGGTTACTTCTCGACCGCGACCGTCGGTTGTCGCACTTTTTAGAGATCTATTTCCGAAGCCATGTGGAAGACGACCAAGAAGGTCTTGATCGGGCTATGAAACATCTCTGGCCTGCATACCGCCGCCACACGTGCTGGACAGTGCTTGGATCTCCAAATTCTCGGTGGCTGAGATGCGAAACAGCGCCTTCAGACGATATATCCTGCCAAACCATTCACTTTGATATGTTGACGGGTCGTCTATTGGTTGATGGCAAGCCGTTAGCCAGGCTGCCAGATCGCTTTTTGCAGCATGCTAGCTACACCGCACTCTTCGGTCATGTAAGTTTTCCAGCCCGATAATCAGCTAGCTTGTTGACGATCCTGCATAGCATGTGCTTGATGTTTTCCCCACAAAAATTCCCGGCGTAGAATTTGCTACCAAAGCCGTTATACGTGGTTTTCAGGTGAGCTGGTATAGTCAATGACAGCATCCAAAACTTAGTTGTCCTTTTGTAGATATTTTTCGGGATGCGCAACGAGGACGTTGTCATTCAGTCGCAATGTGAGAATGGGCACCTCCTTGAGCTAATACCTCGAAAAAAGCTCGAGGTAGACATCCCCGCATTACTGGTCCAAGATCATGTGCATTGGCTCGACCTAAGCACTCACGCGATTGAATTTCGTCCAATGGAGACAATGTGGGAGCCGTCCGACAAAAACTGGGTATTGCAATTCACGGCAGACGGGCAGTCAGTCGCACAGCAGGGCCAATCAACTCTTTTTGATATCCGCAGCCCCGCTTTCCGCATGATAGCAAAGACGCTGAGCCCACTCGAAGACTCGCCATACCTGATCGTCACTCGCAGCGCGGATGCAGGCCAGACTGTAGTCAAAGTCGATCTCCCTCGGTATGGGCTCTCTTTCTTTACAGATGGAGATGGAGACTTGCATTCGCGGAACCAGAGAGGCATGGTCGTTGACGAAGACCAGTCTACTGGCACAATGCTTGGACTTGTTAACCAGCTCGTTTTGCGTCCCAAAAGTCGACAAACTTACAGCGATCGCTGCGTCATTATTCCACAAGGTGATGTCGTAGTAAAGCCCGTAGGCCACCATATCCAGGTCACCATCCATCCCGTTCCTGATCATGCCCGCCATCACTATCAATGTTACACTGTTGACGTGGAACTCTGCCGCCTCACGGGAAATGTCGGTCTCACGAATAAACTTTGGAAGGTGTTCTTGCACGCCGTGTGTAGCGCCCATGTTCCAGATCCGTTGACTAGACGCACCGGTGTGGAAGAAGCCATGTGTTTGCTGCAATCCGCCGCATGCTATTCCTTCATGAAGCTAGACCCATTCGACTGCGAGCTTCTAGCTCGGATAGGCTCCCTGACCGTTGAATCTACATGGTACACCGATTGCGGACCGCAGCAGGTCAAATGGCAAGATGGCTTATCATCTTATGTGCAAAGCTGCGCATTTTACCATGCTGCCAGAAATATTGTCCAATATGCACGGAAGCTGCAGGCGCTCAGCGAAACGCCAGTTGAAGTTTGCCCAAAGTTTCCAGTACACGACGAGTCACTCCTGGAACGTGCCTCTCAGCGGTTCATTGTCCTTTACTCCCGTGATCTAGTCAATTCATTCTATCCCAGCGAATCATCGAGCAGCGAATATACTTCCAGGGATGTTTGTGACCCCTCAATCGACGATCAAAAGGCATTTGATTGCGCGCGCATGGTACGCGAGTGGAGCACCACGCTTGAGCCTTGCCAGGCGCTCTACGATGTTTTTGTTCAGTGGAGTAAAGTTTCTGGCGGAAGACCCAATGTATCCCTTCGATATGACCGAGAATGGTTGAAGCCTGACTTGGCTGAGAGATGGATGACCGTCTACGACCTTTGCTGCTACGCAGACCGGGAGACTCACACATTCCAACTCGCTTTCACATTATCAGCCATGGCTTACTCCTCCCCGAAGAATGTGGGACTTGCCGCTACCATGTTCGCGTTTGCAGCTATTCCTGAGTTCCGTGCAATCAGCTCCCCCAACTATGCTGTGTACGATCTTTCTTTTGGGATCGAACCCCTTGAACAGGAGCTCTGCCATCACATCTCTTCCCATTCTACCTTCAGCAATAGTCCCGAGGCATCGTGGGCTAGGGACCATGACGAATCGTACGGCGATTTCCATACTCGGCGACGCAAGCACTTCCAAACCGAGTGTCTGCGTGAACAAACAGCAGCAGTTGATATCCTTCTTCGTTGTTGGCCTTGCTATTCTGTTCCGCCAGACGCCCTGGAGTGTTTGAGCGACTCCCGATATGACAAGTCCAAGCTTAGCGCTACCCTTGAAGAGCAATACTCAAACTGCTATCGCAACCGGTGTCTGAAGACATATCTGGATCGTGTGCAGAATGTACTCGATGAAGTGACGAAGACTTCCATACCGTCCATCAAGCAATCGTACGCATTCACCCCGAGCAATTCAGAAGTTATATCAATCAACACTACCGACCTAACCAAACACTTGTTCAGAAAGCCTCCTCCCGTCATCAAATTACTCCCTGATCCACTCAAGCAAAATCACGTTTTAGTGACCGACAAATTTTTTGGCGGCGGGCTTGATTCATCTCCGCTGGAGGATGTCATCTCGAACTTCTCGCGATATCGGTCGGACCAGTTTGGTGTCCACTATGCTGCACATCTAGAAGAAAGCATAATCCATCTCAAGAACGAACAATCACCCCTCGCACCTCACCCAACCCGCTGGACAGTCGACATGTTACAACGTCATCATATGTGGTGCAATAAACTCTATAATAGTGCTTTTTGCAGATTGGAAGAGCATCTTGCTCCTTCCGGTTTGGCGGAGGAGAGTTTGTTCAATTCTGGGCAATGGCCACGCATCACAGTTACATTTCTTCTCGGCCTTCTCGCCTCCGCGTCAAAGACGCCTGTTTGTGACTCATGGAAAGCCTCTTTGACAAATTTCGTCCGTATTCTTCTTCGACTACAAAGATCACGCCGACTTCTGAAGTTGAAGTCAGCTGGCGGGGACCATGAGGAATTCCTGAAAGAGCTGGCGAATGACGGTCACCTGGGAGTGGATGGTACGCAGGAATATGTGGACTGGCTTCTGATTCAGGTATTCGATGGTCGCCAACAATTGAGATGATCGATTACTAACAGTACTAGGCAGAGAACCGTTTTCTTATCCGTCCCATGCAAGCCAGTGTTGCCATCGAGATGATTTCCCCAAGCTCTGGCAACAATACCGCCCTACAGCTTCATATGGGGGAAGGAAAATCTTCCGTGATTGTACCCATATGTTGCGCTGCACTTGCAGATGGCAGCAATATGGTACGGGTCGTTGTGCTAAAGCCTTTGGCTGAGCAAATGTTTCAGCTGCTCGTAGAACGTCTCGGCGGCCTTACCAACAGGCGAATCTTCTACCTGCCATTCTCGCGCTCCTTGTCCATCACTTCCCACCATGCAGAAACCATCCGGTCACTATTTGAAGAGTGCAAAGCCATTCGTGGTGTCCTTGTCGCTCAACCAGACCACATCCTCTCTTTCAAGTTGATGACCGTGGAGAGACAGCTTTCACCTGCAGCCGCGGTTGAACCCTCAACAAAGCTGTCAGCGCTCATGCTGAATACTCAGCGGTGGCTTGATATGCACACTCGAGACATACTGGACGAGAGTGATGAGCTGCTTCATGTTCGCTTTCAAGTTGTCTACACTATGGGCGATCAACAGCGCTTGGAAGGATGTCCTGATCGATGGACCACGACACAGCAGGTGATGACCCTTGTGGCAAAACATGCTTCCCGCCTTCACCAAGAATGTTCTCTCGGAGTAGAGTTCCAGCCAGGCGCTGTCGGAACCTTCTCACGTTTAAGAGTTCTGGACGTTCGCGCAGGCGAAAGGTTGGTCGAACTGGTTTGCGATGACATCCTTGCCGGCAAACTTCCAAATTTTGCATTCGAACACGTTCCATCTCATATGAAAGCCTCCATTCGCAAGTATTTTACCCTCTCCACCATTGACCCGCAGCTCCTTCGTGATGTCCGGAACTATTGTGCTGAGTCCAGTCTGTGGAATGGACTACTGCTTATTCGAGGACTCCTCGCACACGGCATACTTTTATACGTACTGAAGGACCGGAGGTGGCGCGTAGATTACGGTCTGGATCGTCGACGCACAATGCTCGCCGTGCCGTACCGAGCCAAAGATGTTCCCTCATCTCGCGCAGAATTTGGACATCCAGATATCGCAGTCGCACTCACATGCCTTTCGTACTACTACGGAGGCCTCACTGAGACAGAAATGGTCCTCTCCTTCCGCCAGCTACTCAAGCAAGACAATCCCGCATTAGAATATGAGACATGGATCAAGGGGTTGCCTTCAGATTCGGTTCCTGACAACCTGCGACACGTCAGTGGAATCAATATGGAGTCTACCGAACAGTTCACCACATGTTTGGTACCTCTATTCGGGCGCAACAAGGCTGCCGTAGACTTCTTCTTGGCTCAAATCGCCTTTCCAAACGAAGCAAAGGAGTTTCCCCACAAGTTGTCTTGCTCTGCCTGGGATCTCGCAGAGCGAAAGTCTTCTGGATTGCCTACTACCGGCTTCAGTGGAACAAACGATTTTCGCTACTTGCTACCCACCACCATAACCCAGCATGCGCTAGACCACCAGCGCGGTACGAACGCCAGAGTTCTCAGTCACCTTTTACAGGAAGAGAATGATCGTTATGACTCGCATGCAGCCGGTGAAGGCGCTGGAGAGCTCCTTAAGGTCATCGCGAAGCAGACTCCGGAAATACGTGTCTTGCTTGACGTGGGTGCCCAGGTGCTTGACTTGGAGAATGACGAAGTGGCGAAGATGTGGCTGGACATCAATCAAGATGCTCAGGCGGCGATTTATTTCGACAGGCATGATAGGTTTGTGGTGCGCACTCGGGATAACGTCATAGAACCATTCTCCGCATCCTGCTTTGCTCAGCAACTGGACCAATGCGTATTGTATTTGGACGATGAACACACCCGAGGAATGGACATCAAGTTGCCTCGGGGATTTCGCGCAGCTGTGACATTAGGACCAAAGGTCACCAAGGATCGCCTTGTACAAGGTGAGGAAGGAATGTATATGTTCATCGATAATGTTCAGTAACACGTTACCAGGTTGCATGCGGATGAGAAAGCTCGGCCATGGTCATTCAGTCATGTTCTTCGCACCTCCAGAAGTAGACCGCAGCATCCGAGACGTGAACAACAAGGATGGCGATGAGGACATTCATGTGTCGGATATCCTCGTGTGGGCGATGACTGAAACGTGCTCGGACATTCAACATCGTGCTTCACAATGGCTTCAACATGGGATAGAATACAGGTCTCGCCACAGTGCATGGTCCTTGTCCTTATCTGACCGTATCACGCCCACCGAACTTGCCCGTTCGTGGCTTCAGCCAGAGGCCAAGAACTTGGAAAACTTATACGCTCCAGCTCAGATGGACACATATTCCTCACAGGCGCTAGACGAAGACCTTCTGGATAGATGCAAAAGTCTCGGGTTGCGCATTGCGCTTGGCAGTCGCTTGGACGAAGAGCAAGAGAGAGAAGTGGTACATGAGATTGAGCGCGAGCACGAGATGGAGAGACCGCCACAAGTGCCAGCTGCTACCCATTGCGCCGACGAAGACGTCCGGTACTTTATCCAAACAGGCTGCATTCCAGATGGATCCCCTTCCTTCATTGCAATTTTCGACACCCTCTCCACGACTTCAGCTGCTTTTTCGGGGAGTCAGCCCTGGTCACGGAACGTTTTTGCCTCAAAGGATTTCTCCACAACAGTTCTGAACGTAGACCAAACGGACAGTTACATTCGCCCAGTCAACTGGATTCTTTCAAGCACAGGATCTGGCGCGCCGATGCTAGTCATTGTCAGTCCCTCCGAGGTCAACCTCTTTTTACCCGACATTCGGGCCAGTAAGCAAGTTCACTTGCACGCATATACTCCTCGTGTCATCAAGATGATGAAGTCATGCGATGACTTGCGTCTTTACATCACACCATCACTCCCTACGCGATGGATACCGCATGACACCCTCATCAGCCAGCTCAATGTCTTTGCTGGCCAACTATACTTTTCTCATCCGCATGAATACAAGAAGTTGTGCCGCCTCTTAGGGATTTACGCTGCGGGCCAGGGTGCCTCTGAGATTCAAAGTGATGGGTTCATTAAACCGGAGCACCGGTCTCCTGCTGCGGATCGCGTCAATACCTTCCAACAATCGCCTATCCCTATGTTGAAGGCTCTTTTCGGTATCCGCCGCAAGGGAATGGGTTACTTGCCTACGCACGTTGGGAAGCTATTGGGCGGTCGACGGTTAACCGGCGAAGACTTCGACGAGACTTGATTGGTAAGTTACAGTCCTTCCGCATGCAAGTAGCAAGTGCTCATTGACGCACTGGCAGCTCAGTGATTAGAAATATGAAGCTGTCGTCTGTAGTTTGTCTCGCATTTATCTATAATCATCTTCTTGCATGGCTTACATACTACATAACGCCTTTGACCACCACTAGTATGTCATTATCATGAATTGGCTAAACTGTTGCTCACATTGTTTCCGGTGACATGTTATGTATTTTTTGACCCGATCTGATGCACGGCTCCACTCTAAGGCGCAGGGGATCATGCAGAGCCTTTGCTGCTAGACCCTCAGTTCCAATACGATACAGAAGGACATGACATTGAGCTCTTGTTGCCTCCGCCTGTGGAATCGAGCCCAAGAACGACGGTTGTGGGCATGATAGTAAGAAATACAATGATCGAAATAATTTCAGTTAATTTGCAGCGTAATGTCATCTCAATTCTACCATTCCGATCACATCAGTGATCATCGGCGCCCAGCCGTCCCCATTGGACGGTCCGAATTGGTCCGCCACGCCACGCCTGCACTCTGCGGCTAGCTAGGGTGGACATCGTAGAGCCACGAGTGCCGACGAAGCCAGCTGCATTCGACTGAATGATAGCGTCGATGAACACTGGATGCCTTGAAATAGCAACAGCTTTTAGCATCAGAATGAAACGATGTCGTCTAATCAGCTCACCACTTTCCGTAGATCTCCTCTGTCCGCTCTGCCGCATAATCTACCCACGTCCAGCCCAACGCCCTGACCTCTAGCCACCATTCTGGGGCACTCTCGTCACTCGTCATGATAACCTGCGTGACCTCGATCCCTTTCTGTGTCCAAAGCTCCTCTTGCACCTCGGATACTCTGCGCGCGATGACAGACAACGAAGCGAAGCACTGATCCAAAGGAACACCGCGACATTGGTTGCCGAAGTCACCATGTCGTACGTGGATGGATATATACTACCCAAAGTCAGATCTGTGGAGTAACCTGTACCCGAAACTTCCACTCACTGGAGGCGTTGGTTCATCTACTAGCACCCTCATGGCGCGCCGGGCATGCTCATCGGCAATCCTTTCTATCGTCGTATTCCATCTCATGTGTTGTCCTACGAATCTCCATGCAGGAGAATAGTCTAACTCCCATTCCCATGTATGATAGGCGCTTACGTAGTAAAGGTAATCGAAGCATAGTAAGTGATCGTCCGGGGGAAGTGAAACCTGATGCTGAGGAGACGGATGGTTCTTTAAGCCCAGGCTGTTGTTGCGAGCTTCCGGAAACCCAAGTGCCGCAAGGGACCAAAAGGACGCATGACTGTCTCGTTGGTCAGGAGCCGTCAGCTTCACCCAGTCTGGGGTTTGCGTCCACGAGATATCTGTGATGGTCGTGTGCAGTTAATAACCGGCCAGGGATGTTCGAACTTCGAAGTTGTCTCACCGAGCTTGAGCCGACTCAGGGAGGGACTCCCCCGTGGTTGGGGATTCTGTTCGTGCTGTTGAACGGTTTCCCAAACACTCCAACACCCGAGATCATCGAGAACCTGACTCTCCGAGTCCTTCACTTCGTGCCATTCAAGCAAGGGGATCCCTATAGCTTGACTAAGCCGGGGGACGTCAATCACTTCCCCAAAAGGAAATGGAGCTGCACTTGTGTCGATATGAGAAGAGAGGAATTTCGGGAGTATCGGTATACGTTCTGTGATGAGAGCTAGGTAAATCAAATTGCCCTAGTTTCTGTGAGGAACCGGGTCAGCGTCAGAAGCGGGTCGTCGACTTACATAGGTCATCACGTCGTTCGCTGAGAAGTAGCTGTGATCAGTGGTGCAAGTGGTGGTTGGTTGGAGTTGACGTACTCCATCCCGCTGAAGTCCACGATGTAATGTACTTTGTGTCGTCACGAAGGTTATCTGGGACCGTGATTGTTAGAATCGAAGGACGTCTTCACTGGTTAACTGACCTCGAAAGCTTTGGGTGGGTGGGCCTTGAATATATGATTGCGAGTTGAAGACAGTAGGATGCGCAGGCAGATCCTGTATGTACAGCCTGTAGCTCAACCTCAAGGGCAATTTGAGCAGGAGAGTTCCAAAACTGAGCATTGAGACGCCTGCCAGAATTGCGCAGATCGTCCTGAGAGACACCATTCTGTCTTTAGCTGGTGATGGTTTGGCACGGACCATAGGAATAAATGGGTTCTCTGGATCGTTGTTTGCGTCCTATCTTTAAGGGCTCTCTCCTAGCATGCCAGGCACTCGTCCGATCGTCTGATCATGACATGTCGAAGACAAGGGGTGGGAGCCTTGAGCTCGAGGATGCCAAATCAGAATATTTGGCGGATCGTGATGTATGCCGCAGCATGCGGGCCTTAAGAAATTGCTACATCACTGCCCTAACATGTCCAAAACTTAGTCTCTTAAGGATGAACGTCCGGGGTGTATCAAACGCCGCCCAAGTGTGACAGTGAGGAAATTTACCTTAGCCCTGATCTGCAGTTGTCATTCTGTGTTAGTTCCCCCTAGGTACGGTCTGGCTTTTCATGGATCAGTGCATCAGCTACACTTGACCTCAATCTCCCACTGAGGATATCAGTTCAATCAAAGTGGGTTTCACGGCTCCCTGAAAGGGTGAGTAAGGCTGATCAGCGTCTTTTAGACACATGAAAATCAATTGCTAGCACGCGCTACCGAGTCGTTATGAAACAGGGGCGGAACCGAACAGATCGGGCACACCACTTGGCTGCGTATTAGTATCCTTGCGAAAAAACTTGCCGACGTTACTACAACATTATGGAATGATTCGTCGAAATGCTCACCAGATACCTCATGACGTTGAGGGGACGCACTCCCGGCTGACAAGCGTGGTATTGGCGTTAGTTCCGAGCAACCCCTTGAGTAGGTTTGGCTAGTAACTGATCACACTGAACCTGACAGGGCGAGCTGGGGAACCGAAGACTCCTGGAGGCGTCCTCGGAGTCAGTTGTCACTTGGGATAACCTCATCCTCTTTTCAACTATATATTTGGACCCGCATTGATGCCATGGGGACAGGTGGACTCAGAGGTCCGACCTCAACCTTGACGTTCAACAACCAACACCTTGCAATCTCTACACTCGATGGATGCCACAAGTGAAATCCTTCAATATATCCTATCGATATCGCAAGGCGCCACCGGTCTCCTGATTCCAAGTACATTGCAAAGTTGCAAACGTGGAGATCGGGGCAGCCGCTAGACTAAGCGCGGCGGTGACCGCTTCTGGCTGCGCCAAGTCGCAGCGTGCAAGGAAAACCGAATTCCTTTGTATTTTAGAGCGTAAGATGTTTCCACAAAGGTGAGTTTGGAGACTTGAGTTGTCGTCAAGTTGTCGTCCAGCATCGGTCCAAGTCTCCAAGACTCCTCCAGCTGATTTGCTTTGATAAGGAAATTTCATTCCAAGTTGCACTTGTTTGTTCGGTTTCGGGGTCTCACGGTCTGTAAAAGTATCTGTCTTTGCGCTTCCGATCATGAATCCCACTGACAGCGGTATTCTTGGGATTTAGAGCAGGAGCCGATGTCGGCTCGGTTTGACCTGGCAGAATCTAGAAACCAGAAAAGCATATTACTGTGCTCTGGTGAGTCACTGTCAAGATGGGAAGTATCATCAATGCTTGGGGAGCAAATAAACGAGATTTATGACGGGATACTGAACCTCAGTCCCAGTCGATACACGAAGAAGATCATCGAGCTCCTGTTGCCTCCGCCCGTGGGTTCGAGACAAGGAGCGACGGTTGTGCACATTATAAAGAAAATACAACAACAAGGGTCATTTCAGCCAATCTTTGCAGCGCAAGGTTATCCACCATTGCGATCACATCAGTGGTTATCAGCGCCCAGCCACCCCCATTTGACGATCCGAGATGGTCCGTCATGCCACGCCTGCACCCTGCGGATAGCTAGGGTAGACATCGTGGAGCCACGAGTGCCGACGAAGCCGGCTCCGTTCGACTGAATGATAGCGTCAATGAACACCGGATGCCTGGCAACAGCAACTTGAGCTTCAAGCTTCAGAATGAAGATATGACACTCGGTTCAGCTTACCACTTTCCATAAATCTCCTCTGTCCGCTCTGCCACATAATCTACCCACGTCCAGCCTAATGCCCTGACCTCTGACCACCATTCCGGGTCACTCTCGTCACTCGTCATGATAATATGTGTCACCTCAATCCCCTTTTGTGTGCGAAGCTCCTCTTGTACTTCGGACACCCTGCGCGCAATGACAGGCAACGAAGCGAAGCACTGGTCCAAAGGAATGTCAATACATTCTTGACTGAAGTCACCATGCCGTATGTGGATGGATATATACTATTCAAAGTTAGATCTGCGGAATAACCTGCACCCAAAACTTCCACTCACGGGAGGCGTTGGTTTATCTTTCGGCACGTTCATCGCGCGCCGGGCATGCTCATCGGCAATCCGTTCTATGGTTGCATTCCATCGCATGTGTTGGCCTACGAATCTCCATGCAGGAGAATAGTCTAATTCCCATTCCCATGTATGATGCGCGCTTATGTAGTAAAGAAAATCGAAGCATAGTACGTGATCGTCCGGAGGAAGGGAAACCTGATGCTGAGGAGAAGGATAATTCTTTGACCCCAAACTGTTCGAGCGAGCCTCTGGAAACCCAAGTGCCGCAAGGGACCAAAAGGACGCATGGTTGTCTACTTTGTTAGGAGCCGTCAGCTTCACCCAATCTGGGGCTTTCGTCCACGAGATATCTGTAATGGTCGTCCAGTTAATCATCAGCCAGGGATGTTCGAAGTTGTCTCACCGAGCTTGAGCCGGTTCAGGGAGGGACTTCCCCGTGGTTGGGGATTCTGTATGTGCTGTTGAACAGTTTCCCAGATACTCCAACACCCAAGGTCATCGAGAACCTGACTCTCCGAGTCTTTTACTTCGTGCCATTGAAGCAAGGGAATCCCAATGGCTTGGCTAAGCCGCGGGATGTCAATCACGTCCCCAAAAGTAAACGGAGGTGCACTTTTGTCGATATGAGAAGAGAGGAACTTCGGGAGTATAGGTATACGCTCTGTTATGAGAGCCAGGTAAATCAAATTGCCCTTGTTTACGTGAGGAACCGGGACAATGTCGGAAATGGATTGTTGACTTACATATGTTATCACGTCGTTCGCTGATAAGTAACTGTGATCAGTGGTGCAAGTGGTGGTTGGCTGGAGTTGACGTACTCCATCCCGCTGAAGCCCAAGAAGTAATGTATTTCGTATCATTACGAAGGTTATCTGGGACCGTAATTGTTAGAACCGAGGGACGTCCGAACTAATTGACTGACCTCGAAAGCGTTGGGTGGGTGGGCCTTGGACATATGGTGACTGCAAGTTGATGATAGCAGAATAGGCGGGCTGATCCTGTAGGTCCAGTCCATAATTCATGGGCTTGAGCAGGAGAGCTCCAAAACTGAACAAAAAGACGCCTGCTAGAACTGTGCAGATTATCCTGAAAGAAGGCATTCTGCCTGTTATTGACAATGGTGCGCGGGGCATAGTGATAAATGGGCGGTCGTATGTGTCCTGTCTTTAAGGGCTCCCTCCTGGCAGCTACCCGTCTGATCGTTTGTCCATTCGAGAACGTCGAAGACAAGGGTGGGAGCATCGACCCTGAGAACGCCCATAAGGGCCCATATTTGGCGATGCTGGGTCTTGATAGAAATTCCCGGTTCCCGCATCACTACCGCAACGTTGATGCCCTGCCCTAACATGACTTGGCAATTCTTGGTTTCTTATGTCTGAGCGTACAAAATTTGCCAAACGCCGCTCAGGTGCGGCAGTGATGCGGGCATTTGCCTCTGGCTTTCTAATGGTTGTTGAATCTCCGCCCCAATGACCTCGAGTCCAGGAGATCTCGACATCGACTCGGTTGCCCATGCGGAGCTCGGTTTTCGATCCCGTTTTCCAAGGAACCCTTTTCAGAACAAAAGTCACCTCTAGTGATAACATCTTAGCTGGGCCTAAGACGACTTACGTTGTGAGCAACAAACAACTCATGCGTATTCCGCTGCTCGCGTGCTGACTCCTGTTAAGCCTTACTCTATTCCCACCAACGTAAACTTTGCATTCATCTAGGCTTTTGTGCTCAAAACAAGAGTATTTGAAGGGCCCCGGTGTTCCCATGGTATTGATAGTGGCGTCGTTGCTGCCGTTCCGTCAACGTCGAAGAAAATCATTGTGGAAATGGCGAGGATCGGTTGATAGGACTCCGCGGAAGTAAGGCATAACGGTCAATCTTTCGGGTACGAGGTGTACAACGTGCGTTGGGCTTGCCATCTGCACTTGTGAGCTACGCTCAATATCATCCAATGGAAGGAGGCACCGTGCGATCGTCAATGGGAGGGGCAATAGGAAGTATGTCAATAATTGTGACGCCCGGGGCACATCCTCGATTGAATAGAGCTCCAAAGCCTTCAAATCATCGGGGAAAACGACAAATCTATCGTTCCCGAGGAAACAAATTGATCGACGGATCGTCATGTAAGTCTGTCACGACGTTACCGCTGATGACACTCTAAATCAAGAATCAACCGTCAGTCTTCAACTACTTATTTCTGACCAAGGCTCACCCTGGATGTCGTTGATAGTTGCCAGTCCCAAATCTGCAGCTGCCACATCTCACTAGATGAACTCCTTGCTCCACCATCAACTGTAACCGGAAAGCAGTGCAGAAAACCAATACGCCTTCCAAAGCCTTTGATCTTCGCAAGCATCGTCGATCTGGTCGTCGTCGTATCCTGGCAGCCCGGCAGAAACAGTGTCCGTCCAGTAGCTTCGGGATGATTACTACCACCATCCAGGACTCTAAGGTCAATACAGAGTCTCTCGTCAGAACCAACACACGCGACAGCGATCAGGTCTTTCCCTGGCTCCATGAACCTATCGAGGTAGATTAATTCCTGAAGAAATGAACATAACGTTCGTGGTGACCAATGCTTAGGTGTTTAATGTGAGGGTTTGGGTGGTATTGGAACGATGGTGAACAAGTTTTAATATTGATCCCACAAGAAGAGATGCCCACAGGTGACGAATTTTGACCCAGGCAACCGTATCACTGGTGAGGCGAGGCGTCAAACTTGAACCATACGAGGACTTTACCCTTACGAGTTGTAAGCGCTCGGAAATAGGGGCGTGATCGTCCGTGTTGTGGACGGAGAGTTACCAGTGAGTTTGACGGGAGCTCAGAGGAGGACATGTGCATCCGGCGAAGGGCCTTCATATACCTGCAGGATGCTGGTTAAACGAAAGACGTGACCCACGGATGCAACGAAAAAAAATCTCGGCCAGAAAGGAAGATTAGAATGTTACAACCGGAGTTCTTCAGCCATAGACCTGAGGAACCCCCTACTTCGGGCTTCATTCCGTAGTCCACTCTCTTATCAAGGCGGTTAACCGTTGCCGGATATGAGCGGAAAGTCATAACAAAGCTTGGAGCGTATGCCACCGAGCAGGACATTCGGAGCATAAAATTCCCAATTGGAATTTAGCAGTCTGACTTTGAACTTGCAAGTACTTGTGCATAGTCTACGAATGTCTCTTTGAAATTTACTCGCGCAACACCAGCTAACTTGAATAAATACCACGGCGAAGACGAAACTTGGATTGTATAAGAACAAATTCTCCCGCCGCTCGTACCAGTGCTACACACCGCTACTAGTAGTCCCCACATGCATCCGCTCTTGGAAAGGCGATTGAAGCCGTACCTGTCGCTGCGTCAGAGTTCACAAGCATTTGCATGAGCTGGAAAATTCGAATTAAACCCGAGTTCCAACGAAATACACGCTCTATAAAAACGATAAGCCGTAGTCGCATGCAGAGGTGAGCAAAAACTTGAGATCGACATACCGCTGAAATCGTTGGTGACAAATAACTGATCTCGAAGCGAGAAACGGTGACAAAGATAATTAGCGCGTGGAGAACTTGAGCGGGAAAGATTTCCTCTGGAAATATCATCCGACAGGTTCTCCCGAACCTATAAAATAGCTGGAAATACGCCACGGGTTGATGGACGGCTACCAAGTAGGATTATCTGAGATTGGGGTCATATTGTTAGACAATGGGTGTGAGGGGACGGAAAACCTGGTGGATTGACGAGAGCGTGCTAGATATGCCACAATCCAGCGCTTATGGAACGAGCATTACAGGGAAGACATCTGTTCCTGTCTTGATGTCAGAGTCGCATGAAGACAAGTAGACAAGAAGGTCAGGAGTTTCATCAGTGAAATTGCGTAGTACAGCGCAGTGCGATCACCGAAAAAGCCTGGCCTCGGCCAGTACATGGAGCGTAATTGCTCATCCAAGGTCGCGTTCTGTTAGCATGATGCCAGAAAAGTCAAATGTGCGCAATGATATCACGGTGAAATGCGCAAACAGATTCACGGCCGAGTCCGAGTCAACGGGGAGTCGCCCCATGCGAACCTCCTTGCCCTCTGCCCTGGTCACATCCGGGCTTATGATGTCACAAGGATGCGAAAAACATCGAAGGGGGCAGTCATACACACTGCACTGCGCTCAATCCGTCATGCGGTGATTTGGACAATATTAAGATGAGTAGTGGGGGATCCGTATTGTGTGTGGGAGATCATTCAGCCTCCGTTAACGAAGTCCCAGAAGATGTGAAGCGTCCAACGGACGCTAACCTATGCCGCGCTGGCATGATAGACGATATCTGACGAAAGAGACTTGTCATAAGGGGGATTCGCTTAATAGTCTTGGGCTATGAACGGTCTGGAACGAGTGGAAGATGAATCTGTTAGAGACAACAGGTGATGTCGACTTGTCCAGACTCCGGCATGCATTCTTCGACAAAATTAAGGTTTTACGAACCAATGAGACTAAGTCATGTGAAGTGGCTGTGTTGAGATGTCAGGTTGCTGCGGGGCGGAGGCCGGATAACACACTTAAGCTTCTGTTGTTGAATCACTCTTAATCATTTATTTCTTTTGAATCACCATCTTCAACACTGTTACAAGAAATTTTGGATGGTGCAAGTGACTGCACCAACTTTCCCGCCGACCCTCGTCGATCTCAGCAGAAATGCATCTGTCATATCATCATCCTCCGAAACTGACATCCCATCTGAGTTACCCAAGTCTCCACGCCCAAGACCAGCACGAACCTTCTCCTCACCACGTTCCCGAAGCCCACATTCCCCAACTGCTCCTCCCGCACGACCCCCCAATTATCTCACTCGTGAACTCGGAGTATCCAGCCATGCACCACCAGAACCTCCACAAGTACAACAGCAGACAAAGGAGAGGAGCAAGAGTAGGAAGAGATCACGAGAGGCAAGCAGAGCGAGGAGTGCAAATGGCAGACTGGGAGCTCAAGAATTTTCCTTTGGGGATACCCTTGGAGAAGGATCTTACTCAACAGTATGTCTATTCCTTGTAACCCACACCACCTACTTATGCGACCTCAGGTGATGCGTGCACGATATATTCGAACAGGCCAGGAATACGCTATCAAGATCCTCGACAAGAATCATCTAATACGAAAGGACAAGATGCTCGTAGCCATCGCAGAGAAAAACGTCCTCGTCAAACTGGGTGCTGGTCACCCCGGAATCATACATCTACACTGGACCTTCCAGGACGAGTGGAGCCTATGTCAGTACCACGTTCCTCTCCATATGCTGTGTGTGTGCACCCGATCCTATTAGTCATTGTATTCCGCTTGGGCGGCTTGTGCTTCACACTGCCACGCCTGGTTCAGTGATCGGGTGCATAGACCACGCATATATGCCCTTTTCTCATGAACTCCCCTTGTTAATTTCCTATTAGTCTTCGTCCTTGACTTGGCAACCAATGGGGAGATGCAATCTCGCATATCACGCCTTGGCTCCCTCAGCCTTGCCTGTTCCAGATATTACGCAGCACAGATCGTTGACGCATTAGAGTATATGCATGGGAAAGACGTCATACATAGGTGCGTTGCTCCATTACCTTTTCCCGGAGCCTATCTCCACATCGCCTGATACAACTTTCAAATCACTGACGTCACTACAGAGACCTCAAACCCGAGAACCTCCTTCTAGATGGCCAGTACCGAATAAAGATTACTGATTTTGGTACCGGAAAGTTATTGGAGAACGGAGGTAAGCTAATTCCCCCCGTGTATCTGGCTTTCTCACAACTCCCGAAGCGGAGAGAGCGAACACATTTGTGGGCACTGCCCAATACGTCGCGCCAGAGTTGCTAGAGAGAAATGAGACAAGTAAGAGGTGTGTTTATTCGCTCAAAACGCGCACTTTTTTTCGTTCCTCGAGTCTCGTTACATTCATACTTGCCCTTTCTTCGTTCCTGGCGTCAGGAACACCTACCGTACCTCCCCTGTTGCCTTGAACACAGCACTGACATCCCTTACAGCTCGGACCTCTGGGCACTCGGTTGTATCATCTACCAAATGATCTCCGGCCGTTTCGCATTCCAAGGCCTCAGCGAATACCTCACCTGGCAAAAGATCAAATCTCTCGACTACACCTTCCCTGACGAATTCGACGAAGACGCCAAGGATCTCATACAGCATCTCCTCGTACGCGATCCGAAGGAACGTCTCGGCGCCGGCAGTCCAGACTCTGCCCACTCATACACAGCACTTCGCGCACACCCATTTTTTGCATCTGTGTCGTGGGAGACGCTGTGGACCGACCCTGCACCGGAGTTGGAGGCAGGATTGGTAAAGAAGGAGCTGCCAGTGGTGGGTGAGGCCGAGGGGGGCCAGTGGGATGATGTAGGGGAGATGTGGGATCGGTTGGTGGGTGAGAATGCTGACACGGGTAGTGGGAGTGGGGAGGTAAGTGGGGATGGCGTGGGATGGGCAGAGGACAGTGAGGGGACGAAGTTACATTCATTCAAGGCACGGCATACAGGTGGTATGTACGCGGAAGAGGGCCCGATGGGAGAGGTGCCGGATTATCTTCTTGTGTTGCAGTCAAGGGCTAGTGAGGGGAGGGTGATGCCAGGGCTGGAAGAAGATCTAGAAGAGACGGAGACAGTCATTGACGAGCATGAACACGAGCACGAGCGCGACGCGGGATTGCCAGAAATACAGACTACACCACCAATACCACAGGCCGAAACGGAACCTCTATCACCATCGGAAGTCTCTCCTGTTCCTGCTGCGATCGTCCCAGTAGCTATATCCATACACGTTCCCGGAGCCAATGGAACAGGCTCAGGCTCCAGCTCTTCAGACGCGAGCCCCGTCGATAGGGTAGCATCAGATTTGGACGTCAAGATGAGGATCGACTCAGATGTGGAGGCGAAGCTGAAACCAAGTCTTTCACGCGGACGTAATCGCGCGCAGACTCCGGTGCAGGGTAACGGACCATGTTCTAATGCAGATTGGTGCGTCGTTGATCTTGATTAATAACTTGACGAGACGATCTAATCATTTCTCCTTCGTCATCATGCTACAGGTCAATCCTCCTCCTACCATCCGAACGTGTCCTCTTCCATACCCGCGTCGAGGCTCGGTCACCGAAACGGCGTGGTAGCAAACTGCGTCTCCCGATTAGCGCAAGCCTCACGAAGACGAAGACGCGGCAGCTGGTGCTTACCAGCATGCGGCTGTTATGCGTAAAGCAGAAAGAGGGCGGTCAAGTGAGCTTGAAGAGTGAGGTCGGCTTGGGCTTGGGTTCCGGCAAGGAGCGTGAGAAGCCAAGGGAAGGGAAGGAGAAAGAGCGAGATGCAGCCAAGGACGGACGAAATGTGATCGAGAGCGCAGAGCCGAAAGGCGAGCGAGAGTTTGTTATTTTGACAGTCAGTTGCTTTCCTCCACTCCTGCTCTGGTGTTTACACTGCTAATGCTTATATTCTTGTTATGCACGCTGCACAGTCTACGAGATCGCAGACTTATGCTGCGGAGACGAGTGCTATGTCTGCGATGTGGGTGGAGAAGATCAATGCGGCGCTCTCTCGGGGAAATGCACATCTCCAGACGCAGATACGGACTCAGGCATGATGACGTGGGTGGAGACCGGGATTCGGATGATATCTAAACGTAATGAAACCGTCTTCATGCCATCTGAGCTTGACGAGGGTGGTTGTACTATCCATCTCGAATTTATGCGCGACTTGGGGATGACGATTGTATGTAGTAATTGATATTGGTATTGGTATGCGCGCGCAGATGTACGGTTGTATTATAGGAACGTTCTGTTGGTTTTTGGGATCTGGGTCTGCGTTATCAGTATTTGTGTGCTTGCGGTAGTGGTGGTTTTCCTGGGATTGATCTGGGAATCTGGCTTTCTACGTACTATATCATCATCATGTACGACGAATTTGTATTACGCGTGGTTGCGTTTGAAGAGATGTAGTAACAAACTTTCAGAGCATTCAAACCTTCGATCAATTCTCCTCGAGCAACGTTCAAAAGGTATCATTTGCTATGTGCAAACCAAACTTTACATATGGAAGACGCGAGGTTCATGATTATGTAAGATAGATATGGATGATGATGCGAAATAATCTGAACGATGTAGTCATGACCTGCCTCAGGTCAATGTAGACATCACAATACGAGGGTGATAAAACTGAAATACCCGAGGACACTCGCAAAAACTGCTAGCAGCAGAAACATGACTTGCCGCCTCCATGGTCCCCAGTGCCCACCTTAACTACTTGTTGCTGTTGTGTATTCGGCTGTTGTGTATCGGAGCTCTGTGGAAGATCATCAAAATATTCATCAGGTACCATGTCCTTGTCCGGGCCAGGGTCATCTGCTGCAGCATTACGCTGTATATTTATGCACGAGACATTATTAAAGACGCAGTGCTAAAAATCGACGGGACGCACCTCCTTACCCTTCGCGAAAGGAACATCGACTACGGATGGCGCTGCATGGTCGGACCGCCAAGTGAATAGGTGTTTTAGCTGAGCCTTGATGTTGGAAGTAGCGGCGGCTGGTGATGCAGGTGGAGGAGCTGGATGAGGGTTTTTTGTCATAGCGAACCTGAGTTTCTTGAAGTGCCCCGGGCGCTGCTGAGGTCGCGGTCTGGAAATTTGAGAATGCTGAATTGTGTGTGAGAGAGAAACGAAAGGTACAATCCACTGTTACACCCACACCATGCATTCCCCGAAAGAAATCAGGTTCCGCATCATAGCCATCTTGATCTTGGCCAGGGATCTCTGCCTGCATAACTTAGGTCAGTAGCGAAAAGGTCGAGGAAGGGAGTACATACGCCAAGAATACGGTCGTCATTGGCAGCGAGCGCACTACATCGTTCCTTGAAGTCTGAGTGAAACGTGTGTGAGTATGATAGCCTCGAGTGACACAACTACAAACTTGCCGTTAGACCAATCGAGGCAGCTAGCCTTCTCAGTTTCATCAATGACGTCCATCATGTGTTGATATGATTCGAGGGCTTCTTCAACTTTACCTGCCAAAAGGAAAGCCTGACAGCGTTTCTGGTGTGTAGTGAGCCAGAATGACTCGAGACCCCAGCCGAAGAGCTGGATGAAGCACTCAGTAATGAAAACATTTTAGGATGCATTATGTCAACATACCACCGCCAAGTCCTCATATATTTCATGAATGAATTTCGACGAGAAAGCGCTGGAATTGACAGCGGCAGTGAAATGGTCAACAGCTTCGTCGTGACGCGCACCATCCAAAGCTTTCATTCCTAGTTGAACGTGTAAATATGCCTAATGTGCGAGTTGCAAAGTTCAGTGTCAATGACGAAGCATAGTAGCCGCATGATACTTACATCTACGACATGACACGCACGAGCATCGGATTTCGGACAAGCGGCGGCCAGCTTTTTGATGAGCAGCATTGCCTCCTCGTGTTGATCCGCGTTGAAGAGGGCGATGGCCTGAAATGCGGAATGAAGCAGAGAATATGGGAGACAAGTTGAACCTACCTTGATCAAGAGAAGAAAATGTATGGTTTCTGGATCTTGGTTCGCGAACATGGATGCGACGTCAAATGCTGCCCTCGCATCCCGGACTTGACCTTTTCCACAGAGGGCAATACCCTCGGAGATATAGCCTATCAACGAGGGCTGGATATTGATGGACTATGTCACAGATGAAAGTTAGCCTTTCGTAAGAGGGCAATGGTCAGTCGGTAAAATTCACCTTGGTTGCATCCTCAAGGGCTTCGTCCCAGTCTTGTTTTCGCGCCATAACAAATGAGCGATGGGCATATGAGGTATAGTCGTTGGCGTCGCTGTCGATTTCTTGCGTGAGTAGCCGTTCCGCAGTAGACAAGTCCCCAGTGATGCATGAATGGCGGGCTGGCGTGATAGCGAGGATCTGCATGAAGCATGCTCGAATTGCGTTATGAGATTCAAGGATAGAAACTCGCCTTTGGATGAAAACCCTGGTGTACTAGTACTTCCCACTCTGATATATGATTATCACTACCTCCGCTGAGGACGTGCTTGCCATCCACAGAGAAAGTGATGCAAGTCGGGATGGATGAGTGCTGGAAGATGGCGATAGTTAGTCCATCTGAGAGCCGCCAGAGACGGACATGCTTGTCATCAGATGCGGAAGCAACGAGCGTGCCAGCAGGATTGATGGCGATGGCATAGATATCTCCAGTGTGGCCTTCCCAGGGACCATCGACCTTCTCCCAGTTTGATGTATCCCACTCTTGCATGACGTATTCGGAACCACCGCCTGAAAGAAGGCGCGTGCCATCGGGCGTCCACGCGAGTTTGGAGAAGGAAACATCCAAGGTTGCGACGCGTTCCCATGTGCCTGAATTATAAATTCTGATATTGCTAGTTGTTGCGATGGCAAGAAGTTCACCAGACGGCGAAAACAGAACTTGGTTGACCCAGTCTTTCGCTGCAATTGGATCTCCTAGTTGCTGCCATGTTTTGGTGCACCACAGCTTGACCGTCCCGTCGTTTGAACCAGTGGCCAACACCGTACCATCTGGAGAAAAGTCCAGCGAGGAGATATAATCGGAGTGGGCTTTGATGCGTTTGGTGAGGGATTCTCCTGTGTCTCCGTTCCAAGCAATGACCTCTCCAGACTCATCACCGCTTGCTATTATTTGCCCATCTCGTGATACCGCCAATGTGCACACCCCACTGCTATGCCCCTCCATCTTCTTCAACACAACACCTGTCTTCAAGTTCCAAAGACGAACCGTCTTGTCCAACGAGCCCGTAACCATTCGGTTTCTATGCAGGAACACTGCGACTGCGGTTATATGTCCTTCATGACCTTTAAATTCTCGAAGGGGTGTGGTCCTTGGAATGAGCTCCGACATTTTACTGGATGTGGATGTTGATGGTGTCATGGTGTTGAGCACGGTCGAGGTGGACTTTGAAGGGATTGTGTACTTCACCATGTCGACCTTCCTCGCTTTCATAGACGCCCAAGACACGGGGTCAATTCGCTCATCGCAGCAAGGATGCACCCTATCAAGTCCCAGATGCAGCGAAATTTCTTTCCCCTCGTGTCTCAAACCAACTACTAATTGTGCGACGGAGCCTCCGCCTTCCGAGGTGCATTCTATCCAACACTTATGTCGGGATATCATATTTGCCGATGGGAGGCACTGGGCAAGCCAGCGGGTCTGGTAGCAGCGTTGACATACCTCCAGAGCGGTATCCCAGTCCACATTATCAATCAAGAACCTAACCTCTCGCATTGGACAGCGTGGTCCCAGAATATGGGCTTGTCATGACACCACATTTCTGAGGATCCAGCCACGGACTCTCGAACTCTTCAACGACGTGTAGAAAACAGCTCCTTTCATCCGTCCGTACAAGACCACGCAGATGTACGGTTGTATTATAGGAACGTTCTGTGGGACCTGGGTCTGCGTTATCAGTATTTGTGTGCTTGCGGTAGTGGTGGCTTTCCTGGGATTGATCTGGGTATCTGGCTTTCTACGTACTATATCATCATCATGTACGACGAATTTGTATTACGCGTGGTTGCGTTTGAAGAGATCTTGTAACAAACTTTCAGAGCACATTGAAACCTCCGATCAATTCTCCTCGAGCAACGTTCAAAAGGCATCATTTGCTATGTGCAAGCCAAACATTGCATACGGAAGACGCTAGGTTCATAATAAAGATAGATAGGGATGGTGACGCGAAATAATCTGAACGACGTAGTCATGACCTGCCTCAGGTCAATGTAGACATCCCAATACGAGGAATCATAAAACTGAAATGCCCAAGGACATCCACGAAAACTGCTAGCAGCAGAAACATGACTTGCCGCCTCCATGGTCCCCAGTGTCTACCTGTACTACTACTTGTTGCTGTTGTGTATTCGGCTGTTGTGTATCCGGCTGTTGTGTATTGGAGCTCTCTGGAAGATCATCAAAATATTCGTCAGGTACCATGTCCTTGTCCGGGCCAGGGTCATCTGCTGCAGCATTACGCTGTAGATTTATGCATGAGACATTAAAGACGCAGTGCTAAAAATCGACGGGACGCACCTCCTTACCCTTCGCGAAAGGAACATCGACGACGGATGGCGCTGCATGGTCGGACCGCCAAGTGAATAGGTATTTTAGCTGAGCCTTGATGTTGGAAGTAGCGGCGGCTGGTGATGGGGTGTTGGGTGATGCAGGTGGAGGAGCTGGATGAGGCTTCTTTGTCATAGCGAACCTGAGTTTCTTGAAGTGCCCCACACGCTGCTGAGGCCGTGGCCGGGAAGTTTGCGGACGCTGAAACAAATGGTCTGCGGGTGGGATGCGAAAAATACATGGTTGCACGCACGTCATGCATTCCCCGAAAAAAATCAGGGTCTGCATCGTAGCCATCTTGATCTTGTCCCGGGATCTCTGCCTGTATAACGGTCAGTAGCGAAAGGGATAAGAAAGGGAGTACGTGCGCCAAGAATACGGTCATCGCGAGCAGTGAGCGCGCTACATTGTTCTTTGAACTCTGAGTGAGATGCGAGTGAGTATGATAGCCTCGCGTGACATTACTGAAAACTTGCCGTTGGACCAATCAAGGCAGCTGGCCTTCTCAGTTTTGTTGATGGCGTCCATCATATGTTGGTGGGATTCGAGGGCTTCTTCAACTTTACCAGCCGAAAGGAAAGCCTGACAGCGTTTTTGGTGTGTAGAGAGCCAGAAGGACTTGAGATCCCACCCGAAGAGCTAAACAAAGTATTTGGTTATGAAAACATGTTAGGATGCATCATGTCAACATACCACCACCAAGTCCTCGTATATTTCATGAATGAATTTCGACGAGAAAGCGCTGGAATTGACAGTGGCAGTGAAATGGTCAACAGCTTCGTCGTGACGCGCACCATCCAAAGCTTTCATTCCTAGTTGAACGTGTAAATATGCCTGATGTGCGAAGTTGCGAAGATTAGTGCCGATGACCGAGCATAGCCGTATGATACTTACATCCACAACATGACATGCACGAGTATCGGATTTCGGACAAGCGGCGGCCAGCTTTTTGATGAGCAGAATTGCCTCCTCGTGTTGATCCGCGTTGAAGAGGGCGATGGCCTGAAATGCGGAATGAAGCAGAGAATATGGGAGACAAGTTGAACCTACCTTGATCAAGAGAAGAAAATGTATGGTTTCTGGATCTTGGTTCGCGAACATGGATGCGACGTCAAATGCTGCCCTCGCATCCCGGACTTGACCTTTTCCACAGAGGGCAATGCCCTCGGAGATATAGCCTATCAACGAGGGCCGGATAGTGATGGACTGTGTCACAGATGAAAGTTAGCCTTTCGTAAGAGGGCAATGGTCGGTCGGTATAACTCACCTTGGCTGCATCCTCAAGGGCATGGTCCCAGTCTTGTTTTCGTGCCATAACAAATGAGCGATGGGCATATGAGGTATAGTCGTTGGCGTCGCTGTCGATCTCTTGGGTGAGTAGCTGTTCCGCAGTAGACAAGTCCCCAGTGATGCATGAATGGCGGGCTGGCGTGATAGCAAGGATCTGCATAAGGCATGCTCGTTTTGCGTTTTACAGGTCAAGGATGGAAACTCGCCTTTGAATGAACACCCGTAGGTACTTTCCACTCTGAGACCTGATTATCTTCACCTCCGCTGAGGACGTGCTTGCCATCCACGGAGAATGTGACACAAAATAATTTGGACTCAAATGGGTGCTGGAAGATGGCAATAGTTTGTCGATCTGAGAGCCGCCAGAGACGGACATGGCTGTCAGAATATGCGGAAGCAACGAGCGTTCCAGTGGGATTGATGGCGATGGCATTGATACCCCCAGTAGTACTAGTGTAGCCTTCCCAGGGACCACCGACCTTCTCCCAGGTTGATGTATCCCACTCTTGTATGACGTCATTGAAAAAAGCCGATGAAGAACTTGAAATAAGGCGCGTGCCATCGGGCGTCCACGCGAGTGAGGAGAAGGAAACATCCAAGGTTGCGACGTGTTCCCTTGTACCTGAAGTATATATTTGGATTTTGCCACCTGCTGGGATGGCAAGAAGTTCACCAGACGGCGAATACAGAACCTGGTGGACCCAATTACTCGCTGTCATTTGAATTTGACTTCTTTGTTGCTGCCATGTTTTGGTGCACCACAGCTTGACCATGTTGTCCGATGAACCATGGCCAGTGGCCAACACCGTACCATCCGCGGAAAAGTCCAGCGAGGTGATACCTTCGGAGTGGGCTTTGATGGGTTGGGTGAGGGATTCTCCTGTTTCTCCGTGCCAAACCATGACCTCTCCATTTACACCACCGCTTGCTATTATTTGCCCATCTCGTGATACCGCCAATGCCCGCACCTCACTGCGATGCCCCTCCATCTTCTTCAACATAACACCTGTCTCCAGATCCCAGAGATGAAGTGTCTTGTCGTATGAGCCCGTAACCATTCGTCGTCTATCGGGGAAAACTGCGACTGCATTTACTCTCTCCTCATGACCTTTAAAAGTTCGAAGGGGTGTGGTGCTTGGAATGGGCTTTGACATTTTACTGCAGGTTGATGGTGTTGAGCACGGTCGAGGTGGACTTTGAAGGGATTGTGTACTTCACCATCTTAACCTTCCTCGCTTCCATAGACGCCCAAGACACGGGATCAATTCGCTAATCGCAACAAGAATGCGCCCCATTAAGTCATACTCGCCTTCCTCAACAGCATGCACTCCCGGTCGCTTCTGTGCTGTGCACAAACCACACCTTCCAAAATGTATCCCCTCGCATCCAATTTTGCTAGTGTAGTTGCTGCTTCCTGGCTTCTGCATCTGGCTGAAAGCCATTCTAGATGACCGCATGAATATTGTTGTCACTTGTCCAGCAGTTTCTCCGCCACATCACCGTGTAACTTGCCCGAACGCATGCTTACTGCAATATCACCGATTCATTTCGTCGACTCCCAGGATCTGCGTGTGCACCAGATGCAGCGAAATTTCTTTCCCCTCGTGTCTCAAACCAGCTACTAATTGTGCGACGGAGCCTCCGCCTTCCGAGGCGCGTTCTATCCAACACTTATGTCGGGATATCATATTTGCCGATGGCAGGCACTTGGCCAGCCAGCGGGTCTGGTAGCAGCGTTGACATACCTCCAGAGCGGTATCCCAGTCCACATTATCAATCAAGAATCTAACCTCTCGCATTGGACAAGCGTGGTCCCTGAATATGGGTTTGTCATGACACCACATCTCTGATGATCCAGCCACGCACTCTCGAACTCTTCAACGACGTGGAGAAAACAGCTCCTATCATCCGTCCGTACAAGCCTGGGACGTTGGAACATCTCAGGGAATCTTTCGATGTTCCCGCATGTGGAACCTACTCCTGCGATATCGTTCGTACGCAGAGCCGCTGTCTTCTCAAGCAACCACGCTTACAAGTGTTTTAGGGACAGTGTCTTCAAGGGCTGGCAGATGCTCTGCGTACTCCCCACTACGTACCCGCCCTCAAAGAATTTCGAGACGTAGCTGTGCTCTTTTATGCAGCAGCAGACGGCTCAGCACCAAGACAGGGTTGACGTGATAGCCAATCAATGCCTTCGCCGTCTAGTTGCGATCTCAAAGAAAGGTCCATGCAGAAAGCTTCCGATGCTAGGAGAGATCGAGACGGCATTGAACGCCGCCTTCAACCCATCCACGTTCGGAGAATCGTCGGACACGACAATGCGCCTGAAAGAGCGCAACTACCCAGACGAGAAGATCCCCATTATTCTCCCGTTCCTCGCAGACGGGATTATCGCTCTTGGGGGCATGAAAGCGGGGGGCGTCTTCCGCATCCCTAGCGACTTCGTGTCGGAACTGAAGTTGTGTTTTTATAGGGGTTATTATACACTTGACAGCGTTGATGATCTCCATGTCTTGGCTTCGTTGCTTAAGCTCTGGTTGTGTGAGCTATGCAACCTACTGGTGCCTGAAGAGATGTACAACGACTGCATCAGGCATTCTCGCGAACCTGAGATGTGCATACAGCTCGTCCGGTGTCTTCCCACGATAAACAGACGCGTCGTGGTTTTCATGATCAACTTCTTGCAGTTCTTTTTGGAGGAGAAGGTGCAGACGGTGACGCCGGCGAATTTGGCGCTGGTGATGGCGCCGAACCTGCTGAGGCTCTCAGGTGTAATCCGGAGTCTACGACCGTTGTGTTCACAAATGCTCAGTGCGTGTTTGGACAGTATTCTTGTGGCTCTGTGCTGATGACTTTGCAGGTACGAACAAGTGTTCATCTATAATATTATGACTCATCTCAAGTACGATCGAATATACGTCCCCGTCCACAGCCTTGGTGCCAGCCTACCATCACCCCAAAACCACGTGTTTCTAAATCTTGCAGCAGAAAGTGACCATGCTGGTGTATATCCACCATCTTTTTCTATACCCACCATGCAACCTCACAAGTGTACTTGTTATCATTTATCATTTCCCAACTCTACCATCATTCATCGTGAGTAGCACAAGCTCCTACCTCTCCTTGGTTTATCACGACAAAAAATGTATTGGCTAATACGCTATTTGAATTCCAGATGGTCTTCGCCTGGCATCTTGCAGTGGACACGCAATACTCATGGAGTAACGCTTCCTACATATACATAGATCTACCGTACTCCCCGCCAAGCTAAAGCATGGCCGTGGACCTCCATAGACATTAAACGAGAAGCGAGCGTGACACCCTTGTTATCATTTGAGTAATGGAACGCGAATTTTCTGATCAACGATCGGCAATCATAGTTTTCTCTAAATTGTTGACCATGCAGGGCCCAGGCAAATTCAAAAGATCTGCGAACTTCTATAGAACACTCTCCTCGAATGACATTAAAAAGGTATCATTTGCTATGCGCAATACAAGCCGTATATATGTATATGGAAGACACAATTACAATGAGTTATGGATGGACAACCTAAACAACGCATGTAGTCATTAACCAATCGATAAAATACTCCTTCAAGTCAAGGTAGATATCACAATGCGGTGATAAGTGGGATATCCACGAAGCCTGCTAGCAGCAGAAACAAGACTTGTCACCTCCATGTTCCCCAGTGTCTACCTGCACTGCGACTGGTTGCTGTTGCTGTTGTGTATTGGAGTCCTGTGGAAGATCATCGAAATATTCGTCAGGTACCAAGTCCTCGTCTCTCTCAGGAGCATCCGCTGCAGCATTGCGCTATAGATTTATATGAGACACCCAAGACACAGTGATAAAATGGACCAGGTGCACCTCTTTACCTTTCCCGAAAGGAACGTCGACGACGGGTGGTGCTGTATGATTGGGTTTCCAGGTGAATAGGTGTCGTATGTGGGCTCTGAAGGTGGTGGGAGCAGCCGCAGGTGATAGGGCAGTGGGCGCTGCAGGTGTGGGTGCGGGTGCGGGCGCAGGTAGAGGAGGCGGATGAGGACTACTTGCCATAGCGAGCCTGAGTTTTTTGAAGCGCCCCGGGCGCTGCTGAGGTTGTGGTCTGGAAATTTGAGTATGCTGTAATGAATCGTGTGAGAAAGAGACATGAAATGTACAATGCACTGTTGCACCCACGCCATGCATTCCACGAAAGAAATCAGGTTCCGCATTGTAACCATCTTGATCTTGGCCAGGGATCTCAGCCTGCATGACTTAGGTCAGTAGCGAAAAGGTTGAGGAAGGGAATACATGCGCCAAGAATACGGTCATCACGAACAGCGAGCGCACTACATTTTTCTTTGAAGTCTGAGTAAAATGTGGGTGAGTATGAAAGGCTCCGGTGACATCACTGAAAACTCGCCGTCAGACCAATCGAGGCAGCTGGCCTTCTCAGTTTCGTCGATGGTGTCCATCATGTGTTGGTGTGATTCGAGGGCTTCATCAACTTTGCCCGCCAAAAGGAACGCCTGACAGCGTTTTTGGTGTGTAGTGAGCCACAAGGACTCGAGATCCCAGCCGAAGAGCTGGATGAAGCACTCAGTTATGAAAGCATATTCGGATGCGTCATGTCAACATACCACAACCAAGTCCTCGCATAGTTCATGGATAATTTTCGATGGGAAAGCGATGGAGTTGACAGCGGCAGTGAAATGGATAATAGCTTCGTCGTGACGCGCGCCGTCCAAGGCCTTGGTTCCGAGCTGAACGCGTAAATATGCCTGATGTGCGAAGTCGCAAAGATCAGTGTCGATAACCGAGCGTAGCTGTATGATACTTACTTCCACGACCAGACACGCGCGAGTATCGGCACGCGGACAAGCGGCACTCAGCTCTTTGAGAAGGAGCATTGCCTCCTCGTGTTGATCCGCATCGAAGAGGGTGATGGCCTGAAATAATGAATGAAGCAGAGAGCATGCGAGAAGAATTTAACCTACCTTGATCAAGAGAAGAAAGTGTGTGGTTTCTGGATCGTGGTCCGTGAACATGGATGCGACGTCAAATGCTACCCTCGCGTCCCGAATATGGCCTTTCCCGAAGAGGGCAATGCCCTTGGAGATATAGCCTGTCCATGAGGGCTGAATGCTGATGGACTATGTCATGGATTGGATGAAAGTTAGCATTTCGTAAAAGGGTCATGGTTGGTCAGTATGATTCACCTTGGTTGCGTCCTCAAGGGCATGGTCCCAGTCATGTTTTCGCGCCATAACAAATGAGCGATGAGCATATGAGGTATTGTTGTTGACATCAGTGTCAATCTCTTGCGTGAGTAATTGTTCAGCGGTAGACAAGTCCCCAGTGATGCATGAATGACGGGCTGGCGTGATAGCGAGGACCTGCATGAAGCAAGTTCGAATTGCATTATACGAGTCAAGGATGGAGACTCACCTTTGAATGAACACCCTTAGGTACTTCCCACTCTGAGACCTGATTATCATAACCTCCGCTGAGGACGTGCTTGCCATCCACGGAGAAAGTGATGCAAGTCGGGATGGATGAGTGCTGGAAGATGGCGATAGTTAGTCCATCTGAGAGCCGCCAGAGACGGACATGCGTGTCATTAGATGCGGAAGCGACGAGCGTTCCAGCAGGATTGATGGCGATGGCATTGATACCCCCAGTGTGGCCTTGCCAGGGATCACCAACCTTCTTCCAGGTTGATGTATCCCACTCTTGTATGATGCCATTGAAATTACCACTTGAAGAAAGAAGGCGTGTGCCATCGGGCGTCCATGCGAGAGAGTTGTGGTCGAAATCCTCCAAGGTTTGGACGCGTTCCCTTGTGCCTGAATTATAAATTTGGATAGTCTTGAATGATGCGATGGCAAGATGTTCACCAGACGGCGAATATTGAACACGGTTGACAAGACGATTCGCTGCAATCTGATTTCCTTGCTGCTGCCATGTTTTGGTGCACCACAGCTTGACCGTCTCGTCCAATGAACCAGTGGCCAACACCGTACCATCCGCGGAAAAGTCCAACGATATGATATTTTCCGAGTAGGCTTTGATGGGTTGGGTGAGAGACTCTCCTGTTTCTCCGTGCCAGACGATGACCTCTCCAGAGTGATCACCGCTTGCTATTATTTGTCCATCTCGTGATACAGTTGAAATGCTCATAATGCATACCGTTGGGACCGCCAAAACGTTATGCATTATGAGACATATGCAATAGCATATGTGTCACACTATTGTGACGCATGTGACCTCCGCCAAAAGTGTGACAGAAAATCGTCCATAGTCATCAGTGAACCGGTGAAGATTTGATAAGAGCATATATAACAATATATAGTTGAAAATAACAAGAATCAACATAATTCTGCTATGGGGGATTACATTGTCATTTTTGGCCTTGTAGAGCGCAGAATAAAGTATGATTGTCCTACATAGGTTTATGATGCGGACAACACTGCGATATCACTCGCACTTGAACTTGGAGGAGAGGTTGAGCACAAGTTGATGGTAAGGCAAAATGAATCAGCGCTGCCACCTCAGAAGTAAGGTCGATATTTTTGAAACTGTCCTACAGAGGTTTATGATGCGGACAACACTGCGATATCACTCGCACTTGAACTTGGAGGAGAGGTTGAGCACAAGTTGATGGTAAGGCAAAATGAATCAGCGCTGCCACCTCAGAAGTAAGGTCGATATTTTTGAAACTGTCCTACAGAGGTTTATGATGCGGACAACACTGCGATATCACTCGCACTTGAACTTGGAGGAGAGGTTGAGCACAAGTTGATGGTAAGGCTAAATGAATCAGCGCTGCCACCTCAGAAGTAAGGTCGATATTTTTGAAACTATCCTACAGAGGTTTATGATGCGGACAACACTGCGATATCACTCGCACTCGAACTTGGAGGAGAGGTTGAGCACAAGTTGATGGTAAGGCAAAATGAATCAGCGCTGCCACCTCAGAAGTAAGGTCGATATTTTTGAAACTAAAAGCTATTGCTAATGTCTTCCAGAAGGCCGGAGCATGTCTGCCAAGCCAGCAAGCCTAGATTTGCGCCCTACATTAGCTATGAAGGTTACCTTACTCATAGGGTGATGATTGTGAGCTAATATCAGAATTGGGAACTTGTGTGAATATGTTGTACATTTTGCAGCAACGCAGCACGTTTTATTAATTGCGATCGCACCCGAAGAAGTCAAACATATACACTGATCCTGCTTGTTGTTGCACGGTAGCTTAGTAGATAACTTTAGAGCAAAAGGTCATGCCTCGCAATTCAGAAACTGCTTGCTACTCAAGGGCCTTATGTGACGCTGTGTCATAACTCGACAGTTGTATTCATTCGCGATACGTCCAACAGAATTCTGCGTGCATGCATTCACGATCTTCAGTAGCTTAGCTCCTCCCTCTAACAATAAAGTTGTTTCAAAGGAATATTAGGTATTGTAACGACGTTGTTCCACTCTACTTTAATGATTGCTCGCCTGTCACTGTCGACGACAATCTTTTTGAAGGGCTGATCCTCTCCGGTAGCGTATCGATGATTCAAACAACAAGCATCTGTTCATCCGACCGACCGACCGTAAGTTTGCGTCTTGCTTCAACTGTCGACGCCAACCCTTTCGAAGGCGGAATTGTCTTCTATTGTATGTAAATTAGCGAGAGATCATCTGCAATATTGTGGTTGGGAATCCCGATTCACGATTTGGAGCAATTATACCATTAGCATGAATGCTCACGCTTGCGCTATATATCCTACATTCAGCCAGTGCGCGACTGTTGTCGTCAGGTCAATTTATAGACATCTTAAAAGCAAAATAATAGCAGCGTGATGAAGTGTCTTCAGTTATTTAAATTCAAATGCGGCTAGTGGATAGTGCTACTTGATAATAGGACGGTACGGTACGATGGAAGCGGATCTCTAGCTAGAATCGAAAGAAGCATCATCTAGTTGCGCTCGCTGCCTTGCAAGTGCGTTCACAGACAGATTGGCCTTTGCTGCGTCGCTAAGCTCCTCACGACGATTCCTTCCAAAAACCTTTCTAAATGCCAGTTTGTCAGTGGAGGTTCATTGAGGACATAGAGTACTGCACCTCGTCCACCACTCCAGGAGTCGGTTGACCCTGCGGCGCGCTTCTCGACCGGGGGCCACTTCGAAGAAATCCACGATGATCTTCCAAAACTGGATATAGTCGAAATCGCCGTCCACGGACCGCCATGAGGTAACGGAAGAAAGCGCGAATCGCACCTGTCAGTGCAGCCGACATAAGTGATTGCGGGGAGCATAAACATCACGACTTACTTGACACGCGATGTAGGCAATCGACCGAGGAGTAACCTTATCCATCCTGATAATCTGCGCGACGTGTTTTTTTAATTTAGCTCCTGAGGATGCCCTTGTAGCCCGCCGGTTGTTCTCGATAACGTCCGCGCCATCGCCATCGTCCTCGACGTCCTTCGCTGAGGACGGAGACGTAAACACAGCCTTGTAGGCCTGCAAACAGGGTGAGGTGGTTGCCGAGGAGCTTGAGACTGACGAACCTGTACCAGGATTTTTCCCTTGAATAAACCTTCCTCCAGATTGTCAGGGTTAGCAGTGTAGTTTTCATACAAAAATGCTGGAAAGGACATTTCTGTCACAGCATGGCCCTCCGATCGGTTTCTAATGCCTGCCTTCACTCTAGTAACGAGTTAGAATTGCGCAAGACACTGTGCCCGCCACCTACAATGAGCTGCTCCAATCAAGTTCAGCAGGGCATAGTAACTTGCCGCATGCGTCATTGATAAACCCGCGGTGGTGTTTGTCGTCAGGCTCGACCGGGGGAGTTGGCTTGAGTTCGAGATTGACCCAGGAGGAAACTAGAGTTTTAAGTTTTGATGTATCGTCGCCTCGAGCACTGTCAGCCCCCAGCCTAAGCTAGAAGAAGGCTCAGCGTGGTAAGCCAGCGGGTTGACTCAAATACCAGCGCAGCGCACCGTTTTTAGCATACGTGCAAAGTCGTCGTTCTCCATGTCAGTGGCATTCTTCACAAACCAGGCTAAGGCTCTCACTAGAGCAGTATAACCTGTTTGCAGTCGGTCCTGACTATGTAGACGCTAATGAGTGCGCTCGGAGTGGAAAGCTAAGGGCGAAGGTTCTTACTCTAGAGTGGCGTCCTCATCGCCATCATACTCGTATCTTCTGTCGTTTTCAGCGACCAGATCCTCTATATTGTCGAACAGAGTGACGACCCGCCTGATGGCCCTTCCCTGAGCTAGATAGTAATTAGTTTGCCTGACAAATAGTGAGTAAAGTGGACTAAGTGCAAACAGTCGGGGGGCATACCTTTCTTTCACCGAACGCCCCGACTCCAGAGTCTCGACCTTTCCCTCCAGCTCAGCGATTCTGCGTCTCTGCCGAGCATGCACAGACGCTGACTCTGACTCTGCCCCAGCTTGGGGTGTTTCTGGAGGCTGCTGAATGCCGCAGTCGCCCCGCTGGCAGTTGGTGCCGATGGATGACATGCTGCCCTCGTCTTGCGACATGGAAGAAGGGAGAAAGGAGGGTATTAAGATGATTTGGGAGCGCAGGTGAGGGGTGGGGTGAGGGAGGCCGATGGAAGGAAAAAGAAACCAGCACCTCCTTTATATCGGTGTCCCTGCGGGTATGACCGTTTAGGCAGGAGCGCGGACCCATATCTCCCAAAGTTGTGAACTGGGCCATAAGCGCTTACTTCACCTACTTCTGTTGGTGAGTTGCTCAAAATGGACTAGCACCGAGGGGGGGGGGGGCGCTTGGTTCCGGGTTCGGCGCTCTCGTAGCTTAGTGTGTGATTATTGAATGCGACGCGCGTTCTTCAGAACGTTTAGCTTTGTGAGCGGTGAGCCGCGTAAAACGCCGCCGGAAGTACTAATATCGTCCAGCTTTTGCGTGGATCACCCTCGAATTTGAGTGAGAGGAGCCAGTCAGAAGAAATTGATTCACCAAGGCGAAAAAGACTCAGATTTGAAACTGAGGAGGCTGGAAGGATGCAACTTGAAGCACCGGGCCTAGGTGAAGTCTCATCACAGTGCGTCCGAGTCTTCTCCATCCTTCAAGTTGGTGTTGCGAAACCTCAGCTACTAGTACTACTCCTTGATTAACAGTGAATCAAGGGAGGGTAAGGGCTGAACTTACCACGGAAGAAGACAGGCGTGCATACTACCGCTAAGTTTTGACTCCTGCGCAAATCTCATCAGTACTACTAAGCGTTAATCGATCGCTTATCTTTGGAGGTCCAACTCAAAGAGTTCCGAGTCACGATCGCGTTCAAGTTGTACTAGTTGGATCATCATCAAGGTAGGCACATGATCACATAAGGCGTGCCTTTTCCGTTTTGGTATGACGGCTGTGCCGTCCTTGAAATTGAATTTGGTGGACGAAGATACAAGTACGGAGGAGACGGAGCAGTGTTCAATAGATACAAAATGTTAACACTAGCTAGAAGACAGATCAAGCCCTCGGGGGATAATAATCAATTGAGTTACCCTGCCGACTTGAACCCTCTCCCTCTCGCAGTACTGCACCACGTCATTTTTGGGAATTTAAAAGGAAGGGAGGTCATCAAACTGGTCTTCCTCCTCAAGCCCATCTCCATCATTTCCCTCATCCTCATACTCTAGTCCATCATTGCTGATCTCATCTTCAGTCATCTCTTCGTCATCGCTACATCCCCCATAACCGTCATGGTCACCGGCCTCGTCACTGCCCGTATCCACCTCGAGGTTGCCGCTGCCTGCTGCACCCGCAACATCGACCAGTGGTTCACTCCCAAGGGAGTCCCTAGCCATCCTGCGCAGCGTTGCTGGATGCCCTATGCCAAAGTAGGTGTACCTCATAAACATATCTCTATCCGCGAATCTGGTTTAAAGGGTAAGAAGCGCCACTACAAGAGCCAGCGGCTGCACTCACATCCCAACATAGTACGCCTCCCAGTCATCCAGCTCTCCTTCAGGGCGTGCCAAGGATTCTCCACCCCGAAGCGAGCTAGTTCCACGGCCCAAATTAAAGGCTGGAATTAAATGCGCCCCTCGAATCACCTGCCCCGGATCAAGAAACCCAAACGCATCTGCATCGGACTCCTCCACAAAGGCAACCTTTGGAAGGCAAGCATATTCCATACCAGACTTATGACTCCTCAGTGGAGCCAGCCACCTAACCCAGATAACCTCCAGGTGATGCTTCACAGGTTTGTCCCCATCGTTGACCCAAGTATCCATGTGGTAGATAGCCAGCGTGCGCGCGTACCAATACGGGTGGTTGGGGTTTGTCTCCCCTGAAAGTACCATGAGGCCGGCATGTGCTCTGAGGCTGATTGTATCATACTCGCGCCTCATGTCGTAGGTAGTGTAATGCACCTGCATAGTCTGGACGGCGTATATCGTGTCGTTAGGAATGATGACCGAGTTTCTCTCTTCATCTGTGAAGACGTGGTCGCAGTACGTGACATCTAGCTTGCGCAGCCGGTAAAGAATGTGGTCCTTCAGTTTGGGTATAAATTTCTGATAAGTGCGGTAAGTAAGGCGCTTTCAAAATGGAATACTGCCACTACCTTGAGAGCTGGATCACCATCGTGATTTCGAAGGAGTCTGAATAGCGCAACCGGATGGTTTTGACTGGCCGCAATATTGTGACCATGTCCAGAGGGGGACTCAGCCAGTGATTGACTGAGCGAAGACGATGCACCCCCTGCTTCTGCTACCCGGCGAAGCACACGGCGCCTGCGCTCATGCTTTGCCAACTGCGCGGGAGTATCAAGCTTGCTAGTCAGAGGATAGAACGCCTTCAGGGCTCGGTGTGCAAGTTCTCCCTGCCCAAGGATTTCAGCTTCGTAAAGATGATATTCAACTGATACTCACAATTTGGGTAGAAAAAGAATCCGTAGTTCCAAAAAACCTGATCGTTCTCACGTAGTCCCCCATTGCGTGAAACTTATACGTGTTCAAATTGAACTTTTTCACCCTGGCCCCGCTTGATTCTGCAGAAGGGTTACGAGCGTCAGAGCGCTGGGCTGACCTTCTTTGACGGGCTGCCTTCTCCTTCGGCAACTCTGCTGTAGTGAAGGCAGCGCAGGTATGCGCCCGAAACCTCCGCAACCTCCGGGAGAGTTGCTTGAACGTTTCGTCAAGAAAACGCAAGGTAGAATCGGAGTGGATCCTAAGCTTAGCGAGTGCGTGCCACTGTGCAAATCGATATAGCAGAGAGCGCACTGCCGCGTCATGTTCTGAGGGGAACAGCCCTTCAAAAACCGGAATGGCGCACTGGCGAATGCCTCAGCCTTGTGGAAAACTAGATAAAACAAACTCACCTGTAAAATATCCTCGAAGTCACGAGCTGCCAGCTTTTTCATCTCAGAGGTGTTGTTGGCGAATTTGCGAATTATACCATTGCCGAAGGTCGGGACCTGGCGAAATCTACGGTAAGATCCAGAGGTTGACGGCCATTAGTGGGCAGCAGCACTCCATACCAACTCCACGCACCTGCCGTCTAGGGTAGCTACTAACTGAGTGCCCCCAGGAAGGGCGTAGAGAAGCCTTATCAGGTGGGTAAATAGAGCCTTCCAAGTGCCCAGCTCACACTCATGCATGATGTCGACGACCAGCATACGAAATGGATCGAGACCAAGCGGTCCAAGCTTCTTGACAAATTGGTTCTGCGAACGCCGATTTGAGCTAATCGTGACCAGGACGGAACCGATGGTACGAACCAGAACTGGCACCCAGGAACCTTCTCCAAGGATGTCCTCTACCCTTGCACCGTCTACGGTACTTCCCATTCTATAGATAGCCTCACGAGCTTTGACAACCTTGGACATAGCGTACAGTCGAAGGTCGGTAATCCGGCTTTTCATATCCTTCACCAGGCCAAGGCAGCTGAACAAGCTTTTTGGCACCAGGCAGCGAGGGCATGGGCAGAAGCCCATGTCCTTGATAGAAGCGATCAGAACCCTGAAGATTCATGAGCTGCATTTTGAACAAAGATGGTGAAAGATGTACTTCTCAGGGTAGTCCGCGGAATATGTGAAGATTCGCGGGTATACTCGCCGCATTACTCCGTCAGCGCATTTCAAAACGATACCATGTCTGCACGCATAAATAAAGTCTTCGTCCAGTAAAATTTCCCAGCAGGCATGGAACAACTCCCTGCGACAGTAGGTGTGAATAGAGGCCATTCCTGTCTTCGATACTCGAGGCAGGCTGCTTAGAATGTCTTTAATGCTATCAGGAAGCTGATGAGTGTGGTAACAGTCAGCAGTAGTCGATAAATTCGTAATCTAGAATGGCTCACCGACGGTAAGAATCCTACGAGGTGGCATGACCCTGATGTTGGCGACGCACGTATATACTTTGTTAGATTTCCAAAGTAGGCGTAAAGTGGCCAAGCCTTCGCAGTACCAAAGTTTGCAAGGTGAGTAGCGTCAGAAAAAAACATTAGACCTGCGATGACCCGCTCCAAAGAGCACCCAGGCTCCTTTGGCAGCTTGTGGAGGTCGTCCTGGGCCTCCAACCAGGCGTCTGAAGTATACAGCTCGTCATATATCCGTTCTTCGTGGCCATCTAAAGGGTCCTTCCACAAATGTTTAAATGGCAAAAGATGAAAAGCTCCAGCTTGAGCGTCTGCAAATGCTGCGCGTACAACTTCGATGAGAGGTCGGTAGTGAAATCCAGGAACTGTGTAAGGCCTAGGGCCATCCTCTCTTTCCCTGGTTGGAATATTGATGGTGACGGCAGTCTCGACCCAGTCATCAGGAAAGGTGATTCTCCTCCCTCCCTTATCCTTATCGAGTTCTCGTAAGCTCTGCCTCACGGAGAACCCCTGAAGGTGCTCGCTGTCATAGTCCTCTGCCAGCATGACGTCATTGACAAGGGCGGCGACCTTCGTTTCCGATACCCGGCTGCTACCAGAGTTCATCCATGACATGAGCCGATAGACAGTCATATTAGAAAACGGGTAAGGGGGAGGGAGGACCTGCGGTGGAGAATCTGTTCCTCCAGCGGGAGTAGGGCACGTTTTAGCAAGTAGTGAGGATGCAATATATTTGTCCGGCTCAAATGAGGGACGGCGGGGGTACAGTCTGCAGAGACCGAAGGAGTTGAGGGTGGTCTGAAGCCTATCTCCGAGCGTTAGAAGAACGCGTCGGATTCTGGCTCGAGCTGGTAGGGCGCCTGAATTTTGAGTTGAGGCACTTTGACGGTTAGAGCTATCGGAGTTGTTGAGATCCTCCTCCAAGGGCTCGACATCAGTAAAAGATCTTGGAATTCTTCTCATAGGGTGGGCCCATTGGTCTGAAACTGGCGAAGTGATCAGAAAGCTGCGCTGCTGGTCATAAAAACACGAACAGGAGGCATTCGGGTGGAGTTCATCCCCGCAGTCGAGACCCATCTCAATGTCAGCGTCATTTTGTGCAACCTGTGGGTTGACGGAGTGCTGTCTGCGTGCAAGGCCGGAGGTATCGAGAGAGGGAGCCGCAGTCTCTAGCCATTTACTTGCTAGCGATCGGCAGGGGGCAATCGGCCTTGGACGGCCAATTTTCTGACGTCCAAGTTCATACGATGAGTAAAGAAAAACGGTGACAGCCAGTACGGTCTCTTACGTATGAGGACGACTGTGGGAGGTCACCGTTGGTACCAAAAGTTGCGGAAACAGCCTCTTTGGCCCGTTCCCGCCTCTTCTGAGTCGCAAGAGCGCTAGACCTCTTGTATAGCTGGCATGACGCACGATGCCTGTTGAGTCCACGGTTGTCTGTTGCCCTCTCCCAAGAGCAACCCGAAGCACCACACAACACCATCGATAAGAAGCCGAAAAGAAGGGCAATAATCGAAAGAGATCCTGCAACTCGGAGGCCCAGACGCATTGCGGCACCCTGTCGGAGGTGGCCCCTACTACTAGTTGACTTGTGCCCCACAGATGGAGGAATCAACATACACACATACAATGCGGCAACGCCCGAGAAACCAGAACCCCACGCTCGTTCAAGTTAATCTGTCCCCTTCGTATTGTGGAAGTCCTAGTACGAGTAATGATAACACGAGAATACAATTTTATAAAAGCTATTTGTAAGTGAGGTCACATAAGATTGGTGCCTAAACTTCATCAAGCCACTAAGTGTTGTTGAGGAAGAACCCTGCATTTTCATTTTCGGGCATATCCGCCACGTGCCCTTCGGAGAATTCTAAGAAGTCGTCACCAAAATCATGCAAGACTTGCGCCGAGAGTAGTCTGGGATCTATAGTAATAGGTGCTGTAGACGGCTGTATTCCCATCAATGCCTGGTGCAGAGTAGAAGGTGGGGCAATATCAGCCCGTGGAAGGGTTAGCTCATTGAGGGATTCAGGGATGAAAATGGGTGTGGAGTAGTGGCCTCCTGTCCGTGGCTGGTTATCAAGCCCTTGCGTTGACAGCAAGCCGGTGGATTGCGCATGCTGTACCGCCTGAAGGACTATTTCCAAGTCCGTTGCGGTAAAGGGATTGGCTGCCACTGGCACAGCAGCACCCTGACCTAATACACCACGGCGAATTCTTCTGAAAGAATGTGAGCGTGACCCCTGCATTCAGCTAGCCAGTCACTCACAGGCCTCGTTGGTGGAGATCTAGCAAACGTGCCGCCAATGCCGGCCCATGGATGTCAGACGCCAGTGCCAGCACCAACGCTTCATGGACAGCGTCCTGATAGGCGGCATGGGTATCAGTGTCGAAGTGTATTGGTGTACGCGAACTCGTGGTTTTGCCGCTTGCGGTACGTAGGACTGCTAAAACAACCTGAAGATCATGCGGGAGCGAGTTAACAAATGCAGGCTAGATATATGTCAAAAACTCACTGCGGTCGCTGACAGCGCTAACATCCGAGTGGGGGTGGTCTGTAACTGGTTCCGCATGTCTTCGTCTAGGAGCGGCGTATGTTTAGAACGGTACCAGTGGTCTAGATGCGTCTCTGCCACCCCGGGGTTTCCAAAGAGAACAACGAAGACCGAGGTGTCGGTGATTTCACAGCCGTGTAGGTAATACGTGAAGAGCCGCGTTGGGTCCAGTATGATATCTCGACGGCTTTCTATGTGATTTTGCCGCTGCACAGTGGAAGCTGTGGGGTCTAATAATTCAAGGTGGAAATAATGTGCCAACGTCTCGGATGTTTGGGCGAGTCGATGACGATTACGCGTGAGAGCCTTAAAAATGAATCCATTTACAATGGGAGTCGCTTGAATATCTGGCGTTTGCAAATTAGCGCGAACATAGGCGGGGTATGGCGCTAGTACGTACCGCTCGCAAACCTCACGTTGGCTTGAGCGATAATTTCTCCAGCATATATCGAGGAATTCCTCTTTTCCTGCTCCGTTATATTGCGAAGCCATCCCTTGATTGTCACGGAGTTTAGGATCGCCTGCCTCTTCGCCCACGCAATTGTGAGTTGTTCCGTCGAGCTGAAGTCCTTCAGCAGCCGTTTCACGACATTGCGACTGCCAGCCTCAGCTGAACCCCTTTCATCGTCTTCTGGGGATGCAAAACTGGTAGATGCCAACGACACAGGCATGGACCCAGAGTACCTCGAGCTGCTTGCGCCGTGGGCGCTGTCACTGCGCGTATATGGGTGGATGCGAAGTGCTACGCCGGCGGGGCGAGTGCTTGCACGTCTTGCGGTGCAGCTTGCAGGGTCCTCGGGGTTGTATTGAAAAGTATGATACATACTGCATGGGTGAGCTTGAACTCTGAGGAAGAGAGAGAGATGATGATGATTATATATGAGTAGCTGTAAACCATGATGTAAGAATGCACGGTCGTCTTGAATCTGTGACAAATGTCCAAGATTAGATGGGTTAAACGGCGAAGCTGAGAAGCTGGACTTTGCCTCATGCAAAATTACCGAATCCTGGCATAGTATGATTAGGGGAAGTGTTTCAGGGATCAGTGGAGTCAGTTAAAAAATAGGGCACGGACGTTTAAGGAACTCACTTGAAGCGCCGTCGACGGTGATTAAGTACCTTGCTCGCGAGCAAATCTCGAATATTTACGAGACTCGCCACCACGATATAGTGAGCTCGCTGATCAGCGCGACTCGATATATGATGATCTCTTGGATCTCTGAGTCATCTCCAATAAAGTTCGTCTGGTGGAAATTTCTCTCGACTCTATTATTCAATAGGAAGCTGCAAATTAACAATTCAATTGACTCACTGACTGTGTAAGGCGCTAGAACAGCCCCTCAATGAGATTTTACAGTCCGATCATCAGCGTAGTTCTGATTCGTGATTGATGGAGGAATGATAGCCAATGGGTGTTGGGCGCGAACGTACATTTTTAAATAAAGCTACGGAGAATAGGGGTGTGTGATCCAAGTTTTCATGAAGTCCCGCGTGTTAAGGCAAAATAAAAATTTGATGCAAAGAACTACATAGACGTACAAGCTTGGAAAATACAGAACAAAATTTAATCTTCCACATCAGATGCAGTACATACTGAGCTGCAATGAGATCCAGGGGTCATAGCAGCCGGTCTATCAGAATCATTATCGGAGGAACTTTCGCACCAAGGGCCACTTTCGCCAGGATCAAACCTACAGCCTTTGTTCCCTATCTCCGATATTCCTGCATCTTGAAGTAGGTTTCGGATAGAACCTATTTGCAAGTCAATCCCTTTAAGTTGTGTTTGGGATACCTCTGTCTCGTCGACGAGGATAGATCTTATCAGATCGAGCTCGCGAGAGCGAAGACGTTGGTATCGCATTCTCGCAGTGATAGCCCGGCGAGTTATGCGGGAGAGCTCAAGCATTCGCTGGTTGAGATAGATGGTAGCTTCAGATGAAGGCCCAGCAGTGTAGTTCCACTTTCAAAAATTTTAAGAGTCGGACTGGAGTTAAAAAAAAATGAAACGGACGCACAGTCGTTTGCAGGGTCTTTGCCTTCTTTTTTGGTAGATCGGAATCTTCCTCACGGCCGCCGCTTCGATACAGAGTGTACCCCGAGTCAAAGGGACGCTTGTGGCGACCGCTGTCACCAAGACTCTTTGTGGGTACAATTGGAATACCCTCGTCAACTTGAGGACAGTTGTCGACAGCAGTGTTTGAGGAAATTGGAGTGGGAGAACTACTCCGGATAGGAGAGCTGCTGGGCGGAATGGATGCAGGAGGCATGGATACTGATCTGCAGATGGAGGTATGAGCGGAAGTGCTGTGTGTGTCATTAAACGAACAAACCTATTTTTTAAGGTGGCAATAGCAGAGAAAAAACTGGTGCTTGTTGAGTTGCTCATGGCAAGTGCTGGACGGGAGTTTACTAAGATGCGTGAACTTCAATATCAATATACTACGTCCATAGAGAAAGAGAATAGAGGACAATTGTCAACCTGAATAGTCGCTAAAGTCAACTCACTGCGTGAGACTTGCCTATTATATCAACGTGAGAATTGCCTCGATGCCAGCAGAAGAGCACGAGGTTGTTAGTCTGCCCTAGCCATGTCGATACGAAGACCATCCTTCACAGTGATGAAATTGGAGACCAGTCCCGGAAAACCGTCCTGATCATCATGATCGGGATGTTTACCATGAGTCTTTGATATCGTGCTGAAGGAAATTTGACCTTTTTTGTGAGCAATGTAATCGCTATCGATGGCGCCTAAATCCTTACACCCGGGCCTCAACACTTAAATGTAAGTGAGCCATCGCTGTCCTTCACTTCATACTTACAACAAACCTTTTGTGTTTCCTGCAGCTACCATGCGAGATAGCTTGTAGGATTGCCTACGATGGAGCGCCAATCAATTTTTTGGGCGTTGGAGCACCAGGGATTAAACACTCTGATCGAGGAAATATCTTGTTCACACCTTCGATATGGGCGGGCTGAAGTTTTTGTCGTTTGCTCAGCGCTCTAAACACCACAACACCTACTCCAAAATCCAGTGAGGCGAGGCAGTTCCCTATCAACGCCTTTACGCCATGAGAGATATACGAAAAACTATCTTCAGGACCACATATTCTTCGTAGCTTTATTTTAAAAATGTACGTTCGCGCCCAACACCCATTGGCTATCATTCCTCCATCAATCACGAATCAGAACTACGCTGATGATCGTGACTGTAAAATCTCATTGAGGGGCTGTTCTAGCGCCTTACACAGTCAGTGAGTCAATTGAATTGTTAATTTGCAGCTTCCTATTGAATAATAGAGTCGAGAGAAATTTCCACCAGACGAACTTTATTGGAGATGACTCAGAGATCCAAGAGATCATCATATATCGAGTCGCGCTGATCAGCGAGCTCACTATATCGTGGTGGCGAGTCTCGTAAATATTCGAGATTTGCTCGCGAGCAAGGTACTTAATCACCGTCGACGGCGCTTCAAGTGAGTTCCTTAAACGTCCGTGCCCTAATTTTTAACTGACTCCATTGATCCCTGAAACACTTCCCCCTATCATAGCCAAGATTCAGTAATTTTGCATTTGGCGAAGTCCAGCTTCTCAGCTTCGCCGTTTAACCTACCGAATCTTCGCAATTTGTCACAATCCGACCGTGCATAGGTCTTACGTTGTGGTTTACACCTCATGATCATTATCTTTCTCTTCCTTCGAGCTCAAGCTTACTCAGGCTAATGCACCCTTCATTATGACCCCGAGGACCCCACGAGGTGCACCAGAAGGCGATCGGCTGCAATCCCCGCCGGCGTATCACATCACATTGCATCCATCCATATCCACGCAATGCCAGCGCCCACGACGCCAGTACTAGTTCAAGGCATTCTGGGTCTGTGTCGTTGGCATCTACCAGTTTAAAATCCCCAAACGAGGTCGAAAGGTGTTCAGCTGAGGCTGGCAGTACCAACGTCGTGAAAAGGCTGCTGAAGGATTTTAGTGCGACCGAACAACTCGCCATCCCTTGGGCAAAGAGGCAGGCGATTATGAACCCCGTGACAATAACGGGCTGGCTCCGCAATATAACGCAGCAGGAAAAGAAGAAAGTATCAGCTTCATATCTCTAGACGAGGTCAAAGATTCAATATGGCCGTGCGTGGTTTGCAGCTACTCATTTATGGTCAGCATTTAACTAATCGTCATCATCTCTATCTAGTTTTCTCAGAGTTCAAGCTCACCAAGTGCGATCGGTTCCGTCCTGGTCACGATTAGCTCAAATCGGCGTTCGCAGGATCGCTTGGACTCGATCTATTGCGTATGCTGGTTGTTGACATCATCCATGAGTGTGAACTGGGCATTTGGGAGGCTCTATCTACCCACTGGCGAGGATTCCATGCCCTTCCTAGGGGCCCGCGCAGTTGGCCAAACAGGATCACAGGCGCCATGTGTTGCGGGTGGCTGAAGAAGAGACCGTACTCTGCCGCAGGTCCTCCCCCTCCCTCCACCTTTTACCCGTTTTCTAATATGATGGGTGCAGATTGATTGGACAGTTCTGAGTCAGCATGAATTTGCGATTGATGGAGGAATGCATGAAGCAACTCATGACAGCCCATGACGTGTTCTGGAATGAACTAGCAGCCGGGTATCGGAAACGAAGGTCGCCGCCCTTGTCAATGACGTCATGCTGACAAAGTTCTTAAGGGAGAGCAGCAGCCGGGTATCGGAAACGAAGGTCGCCGCCCTTGTCAATGACGTCATGCTGGCAAAGTTCTTAAGGGGGGGTATGACACTCACCGGTATTGGGCCTGCGCGCTGGCTATATGCCATGCGGAAATTTGGGCCGGCGATAGGGGCAACCTGTGAAGCATCACCTGGGTTAGGTGGCTGGCTCCACCGAGGGCACGCTTTGAAGGAGAGCTGGACGACTGGGAGGCACACAATGTTGGGATGTGAGTGCAGCCATTGGCTCTTGTAATGGCGCTTCTCACCCTTTAAACCAGATTCGTGGATCGGGATATGTTTATGCACACTCAGTTAGGCATAGGGTATCCAGTAACATGCGCAGGATGGCTAGGGACTCCCTGGGGAGTGAACCATTGGGCGATGTTGTTGGTGCAGCAGGCAGTGGCAACCTCGAGGCGGATACGGGCAGTAACCGTGACGGTTATGGGGGGTGGCGATGAAGAAGAGGTAACTGAATTGTCACTTATTGCGGCCATGTCTTCGCAGATGAAGAGAAAAACTCATAATTCTCAATCGCAGGATATACACCGTCCAAACCGGCACTGCACATCGGACCCCGATTCAATCCCCTATCCGTTACTAACGGCCAGGTCTCATATGGAATTGTCAACCTATCAAAATTTGGCGTCCCCCTTGACAAGTCTCGCTCCGAAGCTATGTAGACGTCCTGTCGCAACACCGCATGAGCCCAACGGGCACGTTCCGTTACCCGATAACCGCCCGGTTGAACGGCGGTCATTCGGTAAGACCACTGCAAACCATAACGTCCGAAGCAAGCTAACTATCCATTAGGTTAGAACACCTCCACGCTCAGTGCATGGGCCCTCAATTCAATCCTCAGTCAGTTGCTTAGTCTTACTGATCTACGAAGACTCACCACCCTGCCCTTCGCCTCTCAACCCTTCACATCATGACTCGGCCCAACGGCACACAGGACCCCCTCAACGCCAACGAGGAGTGGGCACAAAGTATAATCAAAGATAATCCCTATTTCTTTAGGACTCGGCCACCATGCCGCAGAACTCCAAGGTGTGCCTTGTGCCTTGTCGCACACCCCTCCGTTGTTAGCCACGTTTTCTTACTGTCATTTAGGTCCTTCAGATTGGCTGCTCTGACTCGCGAGTGCCGGCCTCCATCGTCACAACGTCCATGCCTGGCACTATCTTTGTACACACGAATACCGTCAAGCACGTATCAACCATTCATCGGACTCCTCGAGCACATTACGGTCATTATCCCTGCAGCCAATTACACATCTTCGACGACAACGCTCACTCCGTCCTGGCATATGTTGTCAAAGAGGTCGGCGTCGAACACGCTCAGCCTCTTATGATTATCATGGTAACGCTTCGATCGCCCCTCTAACGGGCATACGCTACAGTTGGCCTCGTCGGTCACGGCGTCTGCAGAGGTGCCAAGGAGCCGCCGCCCAGCACAACTTGCCTCACCCCAACCCACTCATACATTGGTTGACCTCCCTTACCCAACTCGTTCGAACCCTCGACCACTCAGGTCATCCAAAACTCATGCTGCCTATGTAGAGAAATATGGCAGGAACAGTCCGTATAAGAGGGCTTGGTCCTGTGAGTAACTCTTCTTTAAATCACGAAACTCGCGAACAACTGTTCGATGCAGTGGGACGAACGCCTTCTCACCCTTTACCCATGTTTCTGTAGCACACATGTACTACAGAAGCATAATCTACTGAAAAACCGTGGTAATCTCGAAGAATTATCACGAGCCTCATTGGTTGTGGTATGCCAGCTGCAGAGGGTCATGTTCATAAGCGTCAACGGCGCGTTGCCACTCCTGCATTTTCCATTCAGAATATGCGAGCACTTGTGCCTCTTGTCTTTAGCAAAGGAGAGGAGCTCAAAGATAAATGGATAGATACGATTCAGGAAGTGAAGGAAGACCAGGCAGCCTCGGACAAGCAGAACTCCGGCCGTTTTGGAATAGACGTCTGTCACTGGATCAGCCGAGCGACCTTCGACGTAATTGGGTTAGCAGGTAACTCATGTTGGGTCGTGCATCCATCCTTACCTGACCATCACGTATCACCCACAGGCTTTGACCACGACTTCAACGCTATACAGAACGAGTCGGACGAGCTCTTTGCTGCGTATTGTCCGAGGTTGCTGTCTCGCAGGGAGATGGGGTTAGGACAGTTCTGGGGATTTACTTTCCAATCCTGAAATAGCCTTTTCGTACTGTTTAAATCAATTTACTCATGAATGTAATCCTGGCTGAGCTTGCAATGCAGCCCGATAAGAGGGCCAAGACCGTCCACAGATGCCAAGAAACTATTCGCCAGCGTAGCAGGAAAGCTAGAGCAGCAGGAGAAATCCAGGATTTTGGATGGAGAGAAGAGCGGTTCCTCATATGTTGCGTGAGTCAACTGTCATTTCTTTCTGTCGGTTGGCTGACAAATTCTTAGTGAAATCCAATATTGCGACAGACCTCCCACCAGATCAGCGAATTTCCAACGAAGATATATTGCACAACATCAATACCTTCATGTTCGCAGGGTCTGATACGACATCTCTCGCTCTGACGTGGACGTTTCTGCTCCTTGCAAGACATCCAGGCTTGCAGACTCGTCTTCGTACGGAACCTCTCTCTATCGTACCGACTACCCCGATATCGCGACTGTCACCTGAAGAAATCGAGTCTTTACACAACACCTTGCAGAACTTGCCATATCTGAACAACATTTGTCGGGAGTCCTTGCGTCTGATCCCTCCAGTCCATTCTTCCCTCCGGGTTGCAACACAAGTTGACGAGATACCTGTACCATATTATGTCCGTTTGAGCGACGGCACGGTCTCGGAGCAATCTCTAACACTAAAATTCGTACAGACACGCGCACAATCTTGCAGAATGCTATAATCTCCTCTGACTTCTGAAAATACAGGGTAAACAAGAAAACTATCATTGATAAGACACAGCGGACTCGCCTTAATTCAGCACACAGGACCTCAAACTCACGCCGTGTCATGCCCAGCGTTGCAACAACAGAGAAACGCCTTGAGCCTCCTCCAAACCCCCAATCGCACCCTTCCGGTCACATCTCGCATCACCGCATCTTCTAAACGACCCGCCTCAACGTGAGTAGACCTTCTTCGTCCATAGTAGCGCACATCAGGCGCCCTCGGTGGCAAAAGAGTTGGGGCACGTGCTAATTGCTAACGATCGCTTCAGCGATCATGCATGAACACAACTTGATGGTTACTTACGGGATCCATGGGGCCCATGTTGAAAGATGGTTAGATGAGTAGGTGCGTTGATCGATGATGATTTGGGGGGATTGATCTTGGCCAGTGAAACTCAGTGCAGTGCACGGCCCGGCTTCAAACCGTGGGACATGCCAAACTGGGTCAAACCGACGGCCTGAGCCGCGGCTGATCTGCAAGAGATCGACAAGGAGTTCGTACGAGCCGTGTTCAGCCAGCTTAGATGCGGTAGCGAGGACTATGAGTGGGATATTTACGCTTTAGCATTTGAGGCAGCCCTCAATACCAAAAGGTGTGGTTCATTTATTGATGTGGTGTGTCAGTAGCACTTATGTTGGTGTTGCAGTGCTCTGAAGCTCTCGCGGACTTTTTTGTCGACAGCTCGAGATTCCCTACCGCACTGGGCAGCCCACGCACGTCTCGAGCGCTTGCGCGAGCACGTCGATGATGCCCGTAAGGTCTATCAAACGGTGCCCGTAACCTCTCAGCACACACACACCCAGCCTTTCGTTGGTCAGTTATGGTGGGATTGGGCTGAGATGGAATGGCTTAGTGGTAACGAAAATGCGGCACTACGTGTTATCCAGCGCTCAGTCAAGATCGAGGGTACGGGTGGTATGGTAGTTCTTCGTGTAAAACGCAGCCTCGATGATACGATTAGCTGCGCTCACGAGCAGTGGAAGGACCAGGAAGCTTGGATAAAACTACGAGCCTTTGTCGAGCTGCTTACTTCCTCATCTCAAGATGCGGCACTCACGGTCTTAGACTCTCAGCCTGCTGCCAGTGTTAATGAGAATCCTGGTCGGAGAGAGAGCATGATGGTTGCATCTCTTATGCTACTGTACAATCATTCAGTCATACTACGACGTCCCTACTCCGACAGCTGTCCTGAGGGATCGACTACAGATTGCCGTCGACACTTACTTGGACAATAGCCTGGTGTTGGGCATGTTTCTAGAGCTGAGAAAGGGCACGGTATCTGGGGTCGCGTACGGGCTCAACTCGGACAAAGCACAGCCAATGGAGGCCCAAGAGAAAAGAGCATTTCACGGCGTATCGCAGAAGTGTGGGTCCCAGGGTGGGAGAAAGTGCGATGGCAGAGAGTGAGATCGAACGGACGAGGAGCGGACTTGCTGCGGCTGCAGAAGGCGAAAGGTTTGTGATATCGTTTTGCTCCGGCTGTCATGGGTTGACATCATTTTTCAGGACTGCAGGAAGCGCTATTTTGTGGCGCGTCATTTTGGAATTTGAGATTCGGGTCGGGGAGTTGCAAAGGGGGAAGAAGCTGCTTTACAGAGCAGTGAGTGAATGAATGTGGAATGGCGTCACCTGCGATGGCTCCGGTAGAGTTGCAAATCTGTGAGTCCGCTCCACACATTACGCGCACCGTGACCAGTACTCACCCGCATACAGCCAATCAACCTTTCCTGGAGTACCAGCAGCACTATTCAACGAGCTTGGAGCACTCACTGGCCTCGAGTCTTTGCAAGTCGTTCAAGTTGGAGGTAGCAGTATACCAGGTATGTCGCCACGTCTTATCATTGGCATGATCTGACGCAAGTTGCCGTAGACGAGAGAGAAGTGGTCATAGGTCGGAGCCCTAGGAAGGTGCTTGCTTCCATAGGTCAAGGTAAAACAATGTCGCGCTTTCCTCCCCTCCACAAAGATGAATGTAGGGTTGTCGTGTTTTCTTTTGAAATCCCCTTTTGAATTTCGTCTCCTAGCAAATGATGGAGCATCTGGGGAAGTGGGCTATGCAAAGCCCTGATGACAAGGTGCGGCTTGAAGTCCAACGACCACAGCGATCGTGGTGCTGATGCTATATACAGACCATAATAATCTCGCAGTGGACCGAATGTCTCATGCACAACGGTAAGCTTGTGCGCTGCTGCGTTTTCCCCTCGTGCTTCAGCCTTCCTCTTGGCTTGAGCAGCCCTCGCGCTCCTCTTTGATCTTTCGGCGACGAGCGTCTCAAACTTATCTCCGACTTCCTTGCGGAGAAGAAGATACCCCATGTCAATGCGAATCTTCTGATGACCTCGTACCTGCTTATCTGAATTAATTTAATCTTGCAGTTTAGGTTTCATGGGTCGAGTGGTCGTAGTCAAAGAGATCAGGCTGTCCGAGTTTTCATGATGGGGCAATACCGCACAGGTCATGCTCGATGTCCCTGGAATGTGGAGGTGTTGGGTTGAATCTTGACAAGGGTCAATCGTACTCTCCCTACTTTCTTACATCGCTGCATTCTCACTCCTCACAGGTGTCATCTCCCTGGATCTTGAGTCATGATGTTGTCCAGGACGTGTCAAATGACCATACTACCCCGCCGAGTCAATACAGGGGGGCGCTCTGCACGTTGTTTTTTTAGCATGCAAGGGGTCATTCATCGTTTACGTTGTTACTTTCCTGCATCGTCCGCACGTATCTATTGTAAGTACTACAAGCGATCCCCTTTGGTCGGCAATAAGCAGTATGGTATGCAGATTCGATGTCATGATTCCGAGTCAAAGCCAAATACTATGCACTCAACGATGGGACTGATTCACGACAAGCGATCTTGTGCGCTACAGTAATGTGAACCACAATCATCAATGCATCACCAGTGCAATGCTCGGCTTTGTTCTTCACTTCAGATTGGAAGCGAGAATATTAATTAATGATAGGCATCTGCTGAACGTATAGTAGTCTGCCTGTGGGAATTCAATACCCTGGTAAGTGCGGCACTGGTTGCGGAATTGTTAGTCTGCGGTTGGGACATATTGCAGACCATACATTGGCATCAGCAAACCGTGAAAAATTGCCTTATAATGTACAACTTGAATTGGGGAATATGAGAAGGTTCAACCAGGGTTACTGGGATACCCTGTCATCTCCTCCCGGCTGTGATGCCCCAACAACGACATATTATCACAAACTCCCTTGCAAATACAGATATGAGGACCATTGCGAAAAACGCTGCCCGTGAGATAGTCTTATATACCCTTGCAATTGAAAACTTAAATAACGGAAACGACAATGCTCGACAAGGCGAACACACCTATACTGTCATCTCTTACCGGCTGTGATGCCCCAACAACGACACATTATCGCAAACTCCCTTGCAAATACAGATACGAGGACCATTGCGAAAAACGCTGCCCGTGAGATAGTCTTATATACCCTTGTAATTGAAAACTTAAATAACGGAAACGACTATGCTCGACAAGGCGAACACACCTATGCTGTCATCTCTTACCGGCCATGGTGTTGCGAAGACGTGACCTCGTCACAAAATACTAAATGTCGTCTAGATTCGCAGACTTACATAGGTATATAGCAACATCACAAATTTCTCGCACTTTAAATACCCATACCTAGCAAGAGCAAATTTATATCTCTCTATAGGTCACA